GGCTTCCTTAGCTCCTGACCTTTCGACATGCCTAATTTACGTTCCTGTAGAATTATTTAAGAAATCAACTCCGCTAACGTTCAGAGTTCTCACATAGAAAAAAAATAGAAATGGAAATATATATAAACAAACTATATATTAACTTTTAATATATGTTGTGTTTCGTGTATTTGATTGATAATTAAGGACATATGTGTACTAGGCATAATAATCCTTGTATGTTCTTGAGAGTCATTTAGGTTCTTAAGCATTCTTTTTGTGTCCTCGTAAACGAAGTTTCGCGAGTATATAGTTTTTGTCGTGTCCGTCCGTTTTTCTAGCTGTCTGTCTGTCTGTCTCTCTGTTTGTCTGCAAAAACCTTGCCCATAACTTTTATTTTATCGGAGCTATAACTTTCATATTTCACATATGTATTTCTTATGACAAGACCTTTCTTTCCTTTCTCTGGGTACCAACAAATTTGACCTTTTGACCTTGACCTTCGAGTTTGAACAACTTTTACACAAAAATTCCAAACTTTTACTTTGGCCATTTCTTTTGAACCGTACCAATATACTTATACTTCACATATGTATCCTTTGTGGAAAGACCTTTCATTGGATACCAAAAACCTTGACCTTTTGACCTTGACGCTTTCCGTACTTATGAACTTTAACCTTGGCCATAACTTTTGAATGATAAGGGATTGGGCTTTCATATTTCAAAAAATATGTAATCCTTGTGAGAAGAACCTTCATTGGATACCAAGAACTTTGACCTTGACTTTGGAGTTTGACCTACTTTTAAAAGCAAATCTTGACCCTAAGTTTTAAAGGGTTAGGGATAGTGCTTTCATACTTTACATATTTAATCCTTGTGACAAGTCCTTTCATTTAATTGCAAGACCTCTGACCCTTGACCTTGGAGTTTGACCTACTTTTTAAAAATTTTAACCTAGGATTTTCATACTTTACATATGACCAATTGTATTCTTTGTGGCAAGACCTTTCATTGGATACCAATTACCTTGACCTTTCGACCTTGACGTTGGAGATTTCCGTACTTATGAAAAAAAATTAACATTGGCCATAACTTTGAATGAGAAGGGATATGGCTTTGATACTTCACATATGTAATCCTTGTGACAAGTCCTTTCATTTGATAGCAAAACCTTTGATCTTGGCCTTGGAGTTTGACCAACTTTTTAAAAATTTTAACCTTGGCCTTAACTTTTGAAGGGTTAGGGCTAGGGCCTCCATACTTCACATAATTATGTATTTTTGTGGCAAGACCTTTCATTGTATACCAATTACCTTGATCTTTTGACCTTGACCATGGAGATTTCCGTACTTATGAAGAAACTTTAACCTTGGCCTACTTTCATATTTCAAAATTGCATTTCCAGTCAGTTTGCACTCAAGAAATGTTTAATCTTCGCTATGTTGTTATACGGAGGCATCAGTATTTCACGAACACATCTTGTTTTATATACTAATTGTGTGTTTGATGTAGTTCAATATTGATGTAAATATTAATGTGAAATATTGTTGGTCAGCGTGACAATGTCAGCTTGACATTGATGAAATGTCATAATTGAACGAAAGACCATTATCTTAATAATTATATGGTCAGCATCCCCTTTTCGGTGTCTAATACTAGTAATTAAATGTATTGGGAAATGACTTGATAACATCAATTGACCACATTCAATATTGTAATTAAACACTTGATTAAATCTGGAAGTAAATCGAGCGAAGCAATTTCCTAAATGTACGGAATAATTTAGAAACTTTCCAATAATAATGCCATGCTTTGAGACTGGACGGGCGGAGGATATAACGCTTTGTGATAACTCTTTGAAAGTTAGCGGGGTAGATTTAATGATTTCGCATGCAAATCTCGTGTGCATCTGTCCCTGTTTCTGATGCTAAGGAGGCCAAATATACATGTAATTCTCGTGCGGCTGCCTTTGTGTTTGACGTCAGCGGGCAAGAACAATTAAAATTGGGGTTCCTCGTGTATTTTTAAAATCTATGTCTACATTTTTAAAGTCTTAAATATACAATATTTACATCCACTGAATATTTTCTCCTTTATTTCTTAAGAAAACCCATTGCGTTAATCACTGCATGAACTACATTAGGCATGTCGCCTGTACAGATTTCTTGATCAGTGGCTGTTCCATCAATGAAACGTATAAAGAATTAAACTTTTTAATACTTCTTTAAATGATTATTTAAACAGACATAATATAAACAATAAAATGTCTTTCTTTGTTTGTTATTACTAGCTGGAATTAACGGAAGCAGCTGTTGCAGAAAAAATATATAACCCGCGTAAGCGGGTTATGTAAATTTTTTCTGCAATAGCTGCGACCGTTAATTCCAGTAATAACAAACAAAGAAAGACATTTTATTGTTTAAATATATTTCACACTGAAATGGAAATATAAGGAGTCTCTGTCTAGTTAGTATCGTACACAGGCCTTTGGATCGCTTAGAAAAAAAATTGAGGTGCATGTATCTTTTTTTTTTACACATAAACTTTTTAAGTTTAAATCCAAAGGCCTGTTGTCGTGTCATACTGAATGCCCATGTAAAGTAGGAAAGCACTAGCACAGACTATTCAAAAGTTATGGCTATGGCTAAAAATCAGAAATTTTTGGTTGAAGTTGGTCAAACTTCAAGGTCAAGATCACGAGATAAAATTTGGTGGAACCAAAAGTTTTAAGTTTTTTGTGGACAAAACAGACAGACGGACGAACAAGGCAAAAACTATATACAACCGAATCTTCGATTATGGGGGCATGATAAAAAGGTAAGTATACAGAGATTCAAACGCAGGTTAGCTGCAGACCTGTAGCTCTCCGAAAAAATATATACTGATCGATCTCCGGTCTATAGATATATATTTTTTCGGAGAGCTACAGTCTCTGCAGCAAATCATGTGTAGGCTAATTTAAAGTGTCTAAGCAATAAATATCATAACCCAACCCCACCCCCAACCCCACCAAAAACGAATATGTTCGTTTAAATACATGTCTCGCTAGCATAAGAAATTATATAGATCTGTTAAAATAAGCAACTTTATGTATGACCAAGTTACATATACTAATAATTTGGTGAAGAAAAAGAAGAAAATGTAACTGTACAGCTAATTTTTTTTTTCCGAAAAAAAAAATTGAAATGTATAAAGTTTTAGTTGCAGTGAAGGCAAATAAGTGTTATGTATATGAAAAAATGATACTGAAATTAGTTGTACTATCCACCCAAACCCAAACCGACCCCACGAAATAGGATTTTCGAGTTTGGACATCCCCCTCCCCTTTTTTTATTGCTTTTTTCTGACAGGTTGATTTTTTATTGCACCCCCAGCCCACCTCACTTTCAATAACGATGCTACGTCCATGCATTTAAAACTGGTCATGGATTAGAATAAAATTTATACTGATCTTTTAAAAAATAAATTTCGTATGTTTTAAGATATTTTACCCACTGGGTTTTGATAGCACAACAAATATTGTTTTATTCTGGCATATACATGTATCATTAAGCTCACAAAAAATTATCAGCAGCCAACATATTTTTTAAAAAAATTAAAAAGGAATTTATTCAGTTTTCTATCCGTTAATCAATATTTTTCAAGGGAGCGTGAAAAAATTTTTATAGGTTTCGGCGAGGCTCGAACTCGCGACCTTCTGCGTGTGAAGCAGACGTGATAACCACTACACTACGAAACCTGTTAGCAACCATGATTTAAAAAATCCACCTATTTCATGTTCTCATTTTTTTTTTATTATTTAAAAAGGTTAATTTACAACATAGTCTTAATGAATGATTAAAACAATAAAGATGATTAATTTTAAGCAGAAAAATAACCATTCATCCTGTTCTCAATTTAATTTTTATATATTATAACAATATAATACAGTGTGTTCGATTAAGAAAACTAGAATTTTAAAGTTTACAATAGGTCATAGACGTATAATTAGATTATATGTCTATGAATAGATATAGGCAGACAGATATAAAGTTTTATAAAAATTACAGTAGAAGCAAGTCGGTAAACAAAGGTACATGTACATCTAAAAGTACGTTGGCTTTCAAGAGGTTTCTCAGTGGTAATGATTTTGCTTTTGTAAAAAAAAAAAATCTTCAACACACATATCGAAATTAACATGTTAAGATCACGACTGTGCTTGTCAATAAATTATTTCAATGAGTAATTTTCCATAGGGCATGGAAGATCGAGCGCACAGTTCTATATAATTCAACAGAAAACGGAGGGCTTAAAGTTCCTCATCTAGCATCTTTCTGATTCGCCATGGAAACTCTTCTCTCAGACACGACATAAAAATTCGGAAACGAAAAAATGTGGTATCTTAGATATGAAAGTTTAGAAACCATTTCAAATAGATTTAATCCATTCTGGAAAAATGAGGAAAAGCTAGTCAAAACTCTACCACAGCCCCTTGTGAAATTCAAAGTTAACTAATATGGCTAAATAATGATATCAAAGTCGGGAAAAAAATTATGCGTTTAAACGAAAATGGATAACCAATGGCATATTTTTCATCAATCATGATTTAATGAGGGAAAATGGCGATTTTATTAATTTTAACCATTTTAATAATACATACATGTTATCAGCAATCCCTAAGTATTGGAAGCAAACCGTTTAACGACTAGATATCACGAAAAGTTGAATGAAATTGAAAGTGAAAATATTTTAATACTTCAAAGAAACATTAAAGTTACTAAATATTTTTATAATTTTTTTGTTGAAAAGATAGCAGAGTAGTTGCAACTATGAAGTCTTCATTCATTCAGGAAATATTACATTCTGGTTTGTTCAGAGAAGACAAACGATAAATAAATAAATAGATAAAAGAACCTTTTTATTTAAAACAAAAAATAAACAGATATGTTTTTATAAGAACTGTTTTACTGGTAATCAATAATGTAATCCGGATTTTTTCGTCGGATATATTTCACAAGATAGGAATACAACTTCCTCCCATGTTCCATGCTACTTTCATTTTCAATTTGTCCTTACAATCAGCATGAAATTCACGAATCCGAGGTTGGATATAAGAGTAGCGCTGGGTCTAGGGCTTTTTATAAGATTGACAATGATTTTATATGGAGAATGGCAAGATAGGACATCAATTGTGAAGTATACAGACGTAGACTATATTGTGTTTACTGATGCCGCCGAATATATGAACCAGGTAAACTTGTAAACTATATACAGGTCTGGTACAATCACTACATTTAGCTACGTAGCTTGATTTACCTACATAGCTTTATTTACCTACCTGAGGTAGCTTTATTTAGCTACCAAATTGATTTATTTCTAGTAACAAGCATTTTTCTCAGGGTGTGCAGAAAATATCATTTAAATTGATGCAGTGATCATTTTCAACTTTGAACTCATCTGAAAACAACTCATGAAAAAATCCCTCTTGGAAAAATGTCTTTTTCTGCGCAATTGCAATCAAAGTTCTGAAAGTTTTGTGGCTATGTATGACAGTTAGAACAGTTACTCCTTGAATGCAATGACAAAAAAGTCCAATTCCGGTTAACACGATAATAGGTCGGTAATCATTCAGCACAATGTGAAGTAATCATACTCAGTCATGCCTCACCGCACCTAATAGATAGGACAGTTAACCAAACAATGGAATTATATGTTTTGCTCTAAATTGCCCAAATGCAGCAATGTATAAACTATCTCTGCTTTGGATTGTTTTTTTAAGCCTCCGTAGTATAAATATCAATAGTCATTTAACTGCGACTTTTTGTCTCTTTTTAATAAAAAGAAAACTTTTGAAAACTTACCTTGAAATAGCTAAATAAAGCTGCCTGTGGTAGGTAAATAAAGCTACGTAGGTAATTCTACCTACGTATAGCTAAATCTAGTGATTGTACTGGACCTGATATACTAGCTGCACTTTTAACTTTTTGAGTATTCTCATTCTGCATATTTTCTTGCGTGCAAAAATAGGTATGATAATAATGTCGCCTGTTCAAAAGCGGTAAAATTTAATACTATTTAAGTTATACGTACAGAAATGTAAAACGTACACAAATTTTTATGAACTGCAAGCACAATTACTCTTTAATTCATTTTCTTCAATTCATATCATCACATTTTATATTTTCAGGGTTCTTCGCCATATAACAGGTCTACATATCGCTACACTCCCATATTGGCATGGATGCTTCAGCCCAACATAACTATCTCCCCATTATTTGGGAAGCTGTTGTTTGTAATGTTTGACGTCCTGTGTGGCTACTTAATCTATGCTTTACTGATGTCAGAAAACACAGGGCAGACCCGGTCCCTTTTCTGTGCTTCCATCTGGCTCTTCAATCCAATATCCATCACTGTGTCCAGCAGAGGAAGTGCAGAATCCATTATGTCATTTATTGTATTATTAACATTAAAACTATTCCAGCAAAATGAAATAGTTCTAGGGGCTGTGTGTTATGCACTCTCTGTCCATGTCAAAATCTACCCAGTGACCTACTGTTTAGCACTATATTCATACTACAGCAACGAGAGTCAGAATTCTCTACACACTTCAGTTATACACCGAATACAGAAAATGTTGTGGCCTACCAAGGAGAACTTTGTCTTAGTTTTGATTTCTGCAGTTACCTTTGTTCTGTTGACAGGACTGTGTTATCAAAAGTATGTACATATTCCATCCATTCAATTTTCATAATATTTGTTTTTCTTATGTTTTAAATAATTATTGAATTAATTGATTTGTCATTTTAGAAGAGAGTACCTGAGTTACACTGTATATTGTTACAAAAAAAAATAATGTGACAAACCAGCTATGTATGTTCATTAGTTTTTTCCCTCCCTAGATATGGCTGGGACTTTCTGCATGAGACATATCTATACCACGTCACCCGTCGAGACATCCGACACAATTTTTCTGTGTATTTCTACATGCTTTACCTGACGGCCGATTCCCCTTACTCTGGGGCCCTAGGACTGGCAGCATTCCTCCCTCAACTCATTCTGTTTACTTTGTGCTCCTACAAATTTCACAAGGATCCACCTATGAGTTTCTTTCTTAACACTTTCATTTTTGTGACATTCAACAAAGTTTGTACTTCTCAGGTAAGTATTTTATAGTTAAGAGCAATTTCACTGTACAAATTAATACATAACACACCTTTAAGGACCCTGCTAAGATCATTTAGGAGGGCTGAGCACTCATATAGTGTTTGTCTATCTGTCTTACACTGGCACCTGATGTTATTTTTCTTTTTATAAAAAAAATTATACCCCCTACCTAATAATAACCCTAACCCTCCGTTCTATTGGTTTGCTGAGCTGGTCATGGGAGATGGGCTACCTGCTCCCCTCGATGACCTGCTCTTACGTTCGGCATGTATTTTTAGGTTGCGGGTACGTGTATATTTTTATTAAAAGAAAAATAAGTAATGTCGGGTGCCTGTGCTGTCTTACTATTATGTATACATTTATATCTGTGTACCTCTCCAAATTTCTTTCTTTTAAAGTAGGTAATATGTAACAGGAAAGGAGAAAATATATGGCAGGACCGCAAATCATACCTGTTACCCCAGCATCACTTGTCAGGTTCTCTACCAACTGAGCTACTCAGGGTCTTAAATCCATGGCCTAAGCCATAACTACAAGTTATGATCATTAGCCCTGACATTCATAAGGAAGCATCCTCAAATAATGTAGATTCTAGTTTTATATTTAAAAAAAACATGGGTAGGTGGGGGCCACCATGGGCTGCCATTTTTGTACACAGGAATGTATACATGTTCCACGGTAGTAAAAAACTTTAAAGAGGAGCAAACCATTCATTTTCAAGTCTGAAATACAAAGTACATGTATATTATTCCACCTGAAAAAGAATCTGATCTTTTGTTGCAGTACTTTTTATGGTACCTATGTTTGCTACCCCTGGTTTTGCCAAGTTTGACCATGTCCATAAGAAAGGGAATTTTTCTGATTGTACTCTGGCTCCTTGGACAGGTGAGTCATACTGTCAACCGAATCTTGGACACTTGCATTATTATGTCCACTGAACACCTTGATCAGTTAAGCTATCATGTCCATTGAACACCTTGGTCAGGTAAGCTATCATATCCAGCCACCCAGCAGCGTTTTTGAAAGTGGGGGGCCAGCTGAGGAAATTTTTTTTTTACTTACCTGAAAAAAGTTGACAAGCAAGTACTAGTACCAAGTTTCAGTACCAATTATTATACTACATTTTCTGTACATCACTAATAGTGGGGTGGGGGGGGGGGGGCAACCAGCCTTTTACTGAACATTTCCTATAGTATAAGTAAGGTTTGGGAAAGAAGTATGGGGGGGGGCATTGAACCCCCCCCCCATTTGCTACGTGCCTGATCATGTCCACTGAACACCTTGGTCAGGTGAGCTATCTTGTCCACTGAATACCTTGGTAAACTATCATGTCCACTGAACACCTTGGTCAGGACAGGTAAGTTATCATGTCCACTTAAAACATTGCTGTGACGTCATGCCTTTGTTCTTGCAATCTAAAAATTTACCTGTAGCCATCCGATAATAATAATTACCAGTCTGATAATATATTATCGGACGGCAATGATAACAAAATCGGATGGTATTTAAAAAACAAAAAGAAGAGTGAAATTGAAGTTAAATGTGTCCAGAAACCCCCAATAAGAATGTTAGGAAAAAATTCAGGGAAAGCAAACGCAAGGAAATTAAGTTGCTACAAAATAGAAAATCCATGAAAAAAAGTGTCTAAACTTTCCACAACATTAATACTTTCCACTCTTTTTTGATACAGCACTTTGAATAAGTGAATTTAAATCCATTTTTGAAAAAGAGTCTTGCAAATCTCCTTATTTTATGTTTGTTCCCGATGGCCACAATTTTAAAACCTGATAATATTTCCATTATTTAAACTAAACTTTCAGGGTAAAAATCCGCATTTTTACTTTCCATGGTGATGGTTATAAAATCACCCAAAATTATGTCAGTATCAATGTCAATTTATGCACATCATAAATAAAAATGTTCCCCCCAAAAAAATCTTTCACCATGGGACCCCTGTCCTGCTAAACTAAACAACTGCCATTGAATGAATGAAATGAAACAAGAGTTCACTCACTTTTTTACTGTCTCATTTCTTTTATCTACTTATCAGATGGGTAGAAAACAATGGATGCCTAAACTCCCATTGTGTTATCATCAGACTCCTCCAGATAACTTTTAGACATTTAAATGGCAATTTTTAAATAAGATGTATGCCTCATACTATTCTATATGTAAAATTATCAGACAGTTTTCGGCCCTAACAGTCTGATAATTTTACATATAGAACAGTATTCAGCATATATCCATTACTGAACACCTTACTTAGATGAGTTATCATGTGCACTGAACACCTTGGTCAGGTCAGGTACCAGGGGGTAAGCTATCATGTCCAGTGAACACTTTGGACAGGTAAGCTATCATGTCCAGTGAACACTTTGGACAGGTAAGCTATCATGTCCAGTGAACACTTTGGACAGGTAAGCTATCATGTCCAGTGAACACTTTGGACAGGCAAGTTTTCATGTCATGCAAGTTATTATGATCAGTTAGGACCATTTCCATTTTAGTTTGGACTTTCAGTAAGGCGTGGCATTATTGACATTACATAATTAGCTTCTGAAATTTACACAGCTTTCCTTCACTGTTGAAATATACATGGGATAGAAATTTGGGCAAATTCCAATTAGTGTATCGAATAACCAATTACATTGTTTCCTCCTGCAAAGAGGTGGAGCTTAAGTCGTCTCATCGTTATCAACAACAATTTAAAGTTCCTGTTGTTATTAATTTCTTAACCAATGAGAATCTGTTCGCCATTTGACAGGCGGTAAACATGTAGTGCTTAGAATGTCACTCCTTACTGAAAGTCCAAACTAAACTTGAAATGGTTTTAACACCTTTTACAGGTGAGTTATCATAGCCACTGAACACCTTTGACAGGTAAGTTATCATGTTCATGGCAATCTTGGACAGGTACATGAAAGATATCATTGCCACTGAACACCTTGGTCAGGTAAGTTATGTCCACCTAAAACTTGGGACAGGTGAGTTATAATGACCCCTGAACACCTTAACAGGTAAGTTGTCATGTTACTCAACACCTTGGACATGTAACTTATGATGTCCACTGTATACCTTTAACAGTTAAGTTATCATGTCCACTGAAAACCTTTCTCTGAAGCTGTTAAGGAACTCCGACCCTCAGCCAGGAAGGACAACTCTTTAATTTATAATTTAATTCAAAAAGTCTTTAAATGAAGCTTGAAAATTAAATCTTTTCATGCAACAATTTTCATTATATGCCTCTGAATGTGCTTTAAGGTTCTTTGAACTTCAGAAAGGTCTAATTAAAAGTAGAAATTTTTATCCCATAAAAGCATTTTTAGATACCAAAGCTTATTAACATGATATGAAATTAAAATGATTTATGGAGCTTTACAAAGAACCTTGAAGTACATTGAGAGGCATATAATGAAAATTGTTGCATGAAAATATTTAATTTTCAAGCTTCATTTAAAGACTTCTTGAATTAAATTATGAATTAAAGAGTTGTCCTTCCTGGCTGAGGGTCGGAGTCCCTTAAATCATTGTAACATTACTTATAAATACTGCAGTGTACATGTATATTATGTATTTTAATGTTGTTTGATTTTATTTTTCAGGGCATGTGGCTGTTGCCAGCATATTTACTGGAATTTGAGGGAATGAACACATTTCTTTTTGTTTGGATTGCTGGGATCTTGTTCTTTCTAATAAATGTAGTAGTAATAGGAGCCATTATAGACAGCTATAAATACACACCTTGGGGACAAAATGTCAAAAAACAAAAATAAATGTTACTCACAGCATCTAAATAGACTTTGAACAAATAAAATTTACCACTGAGTGGTTCATTAGCTTATACAGTATCTATAAATAATAACAATCCAACTGCTTCATCTTACATGTACAGATGTATAATACTTCAGCATGTTTGTGATTGTCAAATCATTTTTCACTTTATAAGTTATTCACTGCCTAAATTATTTATTATTTTTTTACTTAAAAAAATAAAGTCTTTTAAAAGTCTTTCTTTTTTTATAAGCCCCACTTGAAAAGTTGGAGGGTATTTAGTGATCAGGATGTCCATCTGTATGTCTGCCCATCTCTTATCGGCAACTCTCTACCGATGAATGAAATTTGATGAGACTTTCACAGAATGTTTATTACATAGTTCCACTGTGCACCTCCTATTTTACTTTTTGATCTGACACTTATTTTGGGTTTCCAAGAGTAAAACATGCCAAAACTTTGCCATTATAATCATAATGCTTAAATTAGTTTATATTAGCATAATTATGAAGTTTGATAAAAACATTATAAATGGTTTCTTTAAAACTGAGTTAAACCCAAATTGAGAAAAATGAGGTCAAAGTCAAAGAAGAGGTCAAGGTAAAAAATGTTGATACATTTGTATAGTATGTATCAACATACAAAGTTTGATTACAGTATCTTGAATTGTACCTTTGAAACTGTCAAAATGAGCTTAATGCTACTTTAAGAAAAGTGAGGTCAAGGTCAAAGGAAAGGTCAAGGTCAAAAGAATGTTTATGCAGTTGCATAGCTCATCAATATCTAGTCAGCATAGAAAGTTTGTAAAAATATCTTGGATATAATTTCTTTGAAACTGATCTTTGAACAGAGCTAAAAACAAAGCAGGATGGAAGACTGACAAGACAAACATTATATGCCCTGGCCATATTCATTGCGGGCATAAAAATGCTGATGCCATTGAATAACTCTCCTCAATTTGTATTGGCATTTTTTAGTGTTAAAAAAATATATAAATACTTTCTTTGATTTAGCTAAACACAAATTTTAAAGTTGAGGTCCAAGGAATGGTCTTGACTAGTAAAAAACAAGATGTGTTTGTGGAACACTGATGCCCCCGTATGGCAACAAAGTGATTAAACTTTTCTTAAATGTAAATTTCATTTATTCTTGGTACCAAAATTAGGGTATTCTCACTGGAAATACAATTGTGAAATATGAAAGTAGGACAAGATTAAAGTTTTCATAAATACATAAATCTCCAAGGTCAAAAGATCATGGTAACTGGTATCCAATGAAAGGTCTTGCCACAAAAAATATGTATGTGAAATATGGAAGCCCTAGGCCTAACCCTTCAAAAGTTATGGCCAAGGTTAAAAATTTTAAAAAGTAGGCCAAGGTCAAAGGGTCAAAGATCTTGCTTGCAAATGAAAGGTCTTGTCACAAGGATTAAATATGTAGAGCATGAAAGCACTAGCCTTAACCCTTTCAAAGTTATGGTCAAAGTTTGTTTTTTAAGAGTAGGTCAAACTCCAAGGTCAAAGGGTCAATGTTCTGGGTATTCAATGAATGGTTTTCTTACAAGGATTACATATGTGAAGTATGAGATCACTAGCCCTTATCGTTCCAAAAATATGGCCAAGGTTAAAAATTTTAAAAAGTAGGTGAAACTCCAAGGTCAAAGGTCTTACTTGCAAATGAAAGGTCTTGCCTCAAGGATTAAATATGTAAAGTATGAAAGCACTATCCCTAATTCTTTAGAAGTTATGGTCAAGGTTTGCATTTTAAAAGTACGTCAAACTTCAAGGTCACAGTCAAAAAGTCAAAGTTCTTGGTATCCAATGAAGGGTCTTCTCACAAGGATTACATATGTGAAGTATGAAAGCCCTATCCCTTCAAAAGTTATGGTCAAGGTTAAAGTTTTTTCATTAGTATGGAAATCTCCAATGTCAAAAGGTCAAAGTTGTTGATATCCAGTGAAAGGTCTTTCCACAAAGAATATATATGTGAAGTGTAGATGTCCTGGTGTCTACTGTTCAAAAGATATGTCCAAAGTAAAAGGAACTTTTCTGTAAAAGTGGGTCAAACTCCAAGGTCAAATTTGGTGGTACCCAAAGAAAGGTCTTGTCACAAGGAATACACATGTGAAATATGAAAGTCATAGCTCCACTAAATCAAAAGTTATGGGCAAGGTTAAAGTTTTCGCGGACAAACAGACAGACAGTCATGACAAAAACTATATACCCCCCGAAACTTCGTTTACGGGGGGCATAAAAATATGTTGATGCATTGGAATACAATGAAGCGCATTGAAGTGGTAAAATTCTCCGTTTGGATGGAACGTTTTGAGCTATCTTTAGATACGCCCATTTCTTTAGAAAGGAAAAATCGGTCAAATGATTCAATCGAATACCTGTAGAACAGGTATTCCATAAATATAATAGCCAATCAAATTGATGGTCTACAAAAACACCGAGTAAGCACGTGTTCGACTGATACATGTTATGCTAACTCCAATAAACATGATAAAGTCATAATTATGTACAATTTCGTTTTAATGCGTGTTTTACAGAAGCGGGGAATCTATATATAGCTTTTTCTAATTAAAAAATCTTCATTTCAGTGTAACTCATGTTGTTTGTCGCGGAAAGTGTGGTGTCCTAAAACATTACGACGAATATTTCTTTCTCTTTTCTAAAGAAATCTGCGTGTCGTTATGTTATAATTGACGTTCAAAACATGACTCAGAACGTTTCATCCAAATAGAAAATTTTACCACTTCAATGCGCTTCATTGTATCTCTCACTAATAATGGCAATATAGATCTATCAACAAATAGTTTAATGGATCGATTATGTGTATTGAAAATGAGTTTTACATAAAAAGGTCAAAGTGAACGCCAAAATACTTGCTCATTATTTAAACCAATTTAATTTTTGATGGTTTTCTTTTTTTTTGGTAAGTTTCCTGATTTATTTTGTTTGTTTGCTCTTTTTATTTGTTTTGTTGGCGTTTCACGTTAGGCTCATACATTACGGAAACTTTGGTTTTGAGCTGATACATTTTGTATTTTATTGTTCAATTTAAACATCCGATGTTGCAGTAGAAAAAAATAATTTCGTTTGAAAATGCCTTTGAGGTTAAATTTTGCCAAAGAAAAACTTAGATGTTACAAAAAACTGCCTAAGAGTATATTGATACAACAGGGTGCTGAAATTAGAGTACCAGAGAGGCCAACAAAACCGATTTATGCAGGGACAGTCATGAAAAGAAGTGTCGGAGCACCCGAAACATTGAAAGTGCGTGTTTTAAGGATGAGGCTTGATAATTACATAACAAAGGTAAATATTTATTCTTTATATTTTGAGTAAATCGTCTGAAAAAAACAATACATTAGGAATTATAAATTGTTAAAAGGAATCATAACTTACATTAAGACCATGCTACTTAGACCGAATTTCCTCTGGGATCACATTCTGGTTTAGGGAATTTGATGCAAATGATTTTAAAAAATCTTTTCCCAAGATCATGAAAGTATCGTTTGTAGTTACAATGGTTATTGTTACACATTCATTTACATTCTTACATTTAATTTATTTAAACACCAATACAGTGTTTTATTTGTTTGTCAAATTCCTCTTTCTTTCAGTATTATTACACCAGATATGATTACTGGGTGCTTGAAAAGGATTTAAAAGCCAAAATAGGAGATCTTGTACTTATTCGTCTATTGAACGAACCATATACACCACGTGTGAAGTTTGAAGTGTACAAGTACTTGCACCAACTCGGTGAAATGATCTGCCCAGTAACTGGACGTGGAGTTCGAGGATTAGAGTACGTTGACCCAACAAGGACGGATCACATTGGAAATTACCCAGAAAAGTGGCAAGACAATGTAATGGACAATACAATGATTCAACAGATGAGATTGTTGGAGCTTGGGCGAGAGTTAGATAAGAAAAGTCTGGAAAGGACTTTTGAAGAGGGTGATAATTTTGATGGAGAAACAGAATTATAGTGCTTATTGACATGTAAATAATAAATGTTTAAAAATCATGCCATGTATTTATCATTACCCAAAAAATGAAACAGTAGATAGAATTTGTTTGCATTGACCCAATGTTTTATTTTGCTTTGCATTATGCCAAAAATCTCAGGTGTATTTAAGGGGTGTCAAGAAAGTTCGTTCCACAGTGAAATATTTTTAAAAATGTCAAGGTAATTTTTCACTAAACAGATTTTTTCAGTCTGACAAATTCAGAAGATTGTGCTTTATATTTTCAGCATTTCATTTCTAGCAGGAAGTTATTGGGTTTTTTTTCTTCCATATGTAAATACATATAAGCATCTTTAAAGCACCCATATGGCAGAAATGCTGGTCATTCCGTTTGAAAATGTAAGAAAATTCACTTTTGTTTCTTCACAGATTCTCTTGTATCATACAAAACTGATGAGTTTAGGTATAAGTAAGATTAATCACTTTTCAAAAGAACAGGTTTATCATATTAAAATTCTTCACTGACCTGATAAATTTTGCTTGGTATTTGAAAGGGTTTATTGACCTGTGTGCTTAATAATATGCAACAAATATTCAGCATCCCTGGTTATTCTGATCTCTGATCTGTTTTAAAACCTGTCCTCCCCTTTTTGATTAATCAAAATACAGTTAAAACCTTATCAGAGCAAGAATGGACTCTGTGAACATGTATTATCACAATTTTTAGCTCTACTGGTCAGAGACCAGAAGAGCTTATGCGATAGTAATGCGTCCGTCGTCCGTCCGTCTGTCTGTCTGTAAACAATTTTTCAAAATGCTACTCCTCCTACAGTTTTGGTCTGATTTCAGTATAACTTGGCACACAAGTAGACTACACTAAGATACATAATTTTGTGCATCGGTTTTTGATTTCAATGAACGGTGTTGCCGTGGTTACTAAAAATAGAAATTTCTGTGAAATTCTTTATGCTACTCCTCCTACAGTTTTGGTCTGATTTCAATATAACTTGGCACACAAGTAGACTACACTAAGATACATAATTCTATGCATCGGTTTTTGATTTCGATGAACGGTGTTGCCGTGGTTACTAAAAATAGAAATTTCTGTGAAATTCTTTCAAAATGCTACTCCTCCTACAGTTTTGGTCTAATTTCATTATAACTTGGCACACAAGTAGACTATACTAAGATACGTAATTCTGTGCATCAGTTTTTGATTTCGATGAACGGTGTTCCCTTGGTTACTAAAAATAGAAATTTCTTTGAAATTCTTTCAAAATGCTACTCCTCCTACAGATTTGGTCCGATTTCAGTATAACTTGGCACACAAGTAAACTACACTAAGATACATAATTCTGTGCATCGGTTTTTGATTTCGATAAACGGTGTTGCCGTGGTTACTAAAAATAGAAATTTCTGTGAAATTCTTTCAAAATGCTACTCCTCCTACAGTTTTGGTCTAATTTTGATATAACTTGGCAAACAAGTAGACTACACTAAGATACATAATTCTGTGCATCGGTTTTTGATTTCAATGAACATGTTGCCATGGTTACTAAAAATAGAAATTTCTGTGAAATTCTTTCAAAATGCTACTCCTCCTGCAGTTTTGGTCTGATTTCAGTATAACTTGGCACACAAGTAGACTATACTAAGATTCATAATTCTGTGCATTGGTTTTTATTTTGATGAGTGGCAAGGATCATTTTTCTATTTATTGCTGATTTAAAGTCTCAAGTCCCAACTGCTACTTTTCTCTTCCTTTGTTTTAAGTATAAACCAGTAGAGCTACAGTCTCGACAGAGACTTCTGGTTAAATATCTTCTCATTGTATTTCTTTTCAAAAATGAAAAAGAAATGTGTAATGAACTTTCTTAAAACCCTTTAGATACTGATTAAAGCAGATTACAGTATAGTGGGAATTGTTAATTTGATTAATTCAACCTACTTGGTAGTAGCTAAAAAAAAAATTATCTCAAAATATTTGCACCCTTGCAAATCAGTAAAGTATACTGAATGTAAGAAAAATTAACTTGGTATATGTTTAAAATATTAAATCAACATGAAGTTACATGATGAATATGATCTCTTGTGTTAATTTTATTACTTTCAATTTCCTGATTAAACCTAAGTCTACATGTACAAGGACCAGGAGACATTAAAATTGCCACTTTATTCATTTAATTAACAAGGTGCAAAAAAAGTTCAGTTATAATATTTTATTTTATATACAGGTATAAATTATAAAACAATCAAATTACATATTTCAACAACAACAAAAAATCTTAAACATTTGTTTTCAGGCTTTGGCAATGCAAATTAAATTCCATGCCTTGGCATTTTGTAAGCAATGTATTAATACATGTATGAGCAGGCCCGAGAGCCATAAAAACCTAGACGAGCTCATTTTTGATCTTGGTCTCACTTTTCTACTACCCGGTATTATAAATTCCTTTGAAAAAAGTGAGACTGAGATCAAAAGTGAGCTTGTCTAAGTTTTATGGCCCCCAGGCCAGATCATCTGTATGAATCTCAATCAGCATTCTCTCAAACTTTGCGGTAGTCTCTAACTCAAACAGTTCATAGAATTTGTGTGTATCTTATACAAAATGTAATGGGAATCAAAATAGGATTTTTCAACAAAAAATTTGAAGATATACATGTAGAAGTGGATTGTTTAATTTAAAACTATTGAATTTCCTTTCAGCATAATTGGTTTGCTCTTACGTGTACAAATTATTTGTTATATATATACCTGAACCATAAAAAATCTATTATGAAAGATCACATAATATACATGCATTAAAAATATTTTTGTGTTTTTCCTTCTTTTCTTAAATTTTTCAACTAATCTTAACATGCTTAAATAAAATATTTTTTATTCTACTTTCCGATTCTCTTGCCCATGATGTAAATCAAATGTAGAAATTCATTACATCTGAAAGAATTTCACTTTAAGTCAAGTACAAAAAAATTGCAGTAGAAAGGAAAACTGGAGAGGGTATATTATGTAGCTACCAGACTACCGGTACTTAGTAATCCTCGAATTGGGGTTCCTTCTTAACTCTCAGCACTCCTTACTGCTATCATTATCTTTCACAATTAACAGTTCTTTTCTTTGTCATTAACTCTTTAGTATACTGTGATAGTTATAAAATCGTAGAAAGTATAGGAAGATCAATTTCGAAGAGCTTGTAACCTGCAAAAAGAAACAAAAAAAATTACATGAAGTACATTTACACATACAGATATATTCATTCCAATAATCTGTAATGAACTGTACTGTTTTGAATGGAAACGGTTCCATAACAAGAATTAAAGATAAATAGACAAACACACCTTCTGGATAGATCGTCCTCCTTTTTCCTCTCCCCGTCCTCTCGTATGGAGGCCGTCGTGGGGTTGAGCTCCTTAAGCTGGTCTGTGATATCAAGATCATTCTCGGCAGCGATCTGTTGCATTAGACTCTCCACCTGATCCTGAGGAGTGGATAGTGTGGTGGCAGCACTCATGGAATTCTCCAATGTCTAGAGGTAAAAATGTTCAATTTCATATGTGTTTGCAAAATTTGAATATACACAAAAATTTTGAAAGCTTTTAGAGTGTGATGCAAAATATTACTTGCTGTATTTTCATGATGCTTTGATTTAAAGAAATGAATTGTTCATGATGGTACTTACAGAAGTCCTAACATCAATGTCTTCAAACTGCCTCTCAAATTTCTGCATAACTTGTTCAACCTATGTGTTGAAAATGTATCCACATGTAATTTCAATTTTGATTTACAGAGGGAAAACTTAAACTAAAAGGTGACCTCAAAACGGAGAATTTCTTTACATTTCTATTTAAGTTTACTTATTCATATGATAACTTTATCTACATTTTTCTAACCTTTTCCAAATCCATTGCTGACATGGCTTTGTCTAATGCCTTTGTAACTCCTTCCATTTGTTTTGTGATCTGAAAATATAAATAAGGACACCAATGAACACCACTTATATTTAACTAAATGACAAATATATACACAGCAATAATAACTCATCAGTCACTTGTAACCAGGCTCAATTTTCAAAGATGTAAAAAAAAAAAAAAAAACGCCACACAACATATGATTTTAAAGTTTTTTGTTTTGTCATTTTTCATGTTATTGATTTTTTTTCTTGCCCCAGCCAAATGATACTACAAAACTGAACTTTTTTTTAATTATAGTTAAATTGAGAGTAACTAGCAGTTTTCATCACCCATCTTTGTTAGATTCTTTTACTAGTGGCTTATCCCTTAATGTTATTAATTGACATAAAACCCACTCTAACCAGCATCTACACACACATATATACTCTGTTTACAGCTAACATACTGATATTATTTAAAACCAGAAGTCTCTGTCGAGACTGTAGCTCTACTGGTTTATACTTAAAACAAAGGAAGAGAAAAGTAGCAGCTGGGACTTGAAACTTTAAAACAGCAATAAATAGAAAAAAGATCCTTGCCGCTCATCAAATTAAAAACCGGTGCACAGAATTATGTATCATAGTGTAGTCTACTTGTGTGCCAAGTTATATTGAAATCCGACCAAAACTGTAGGAGGGGTAGTATTTTGAAAGTATTTCACAGAAGTTTCTTTTTTTAGTAACCATGACAACAACGTTCATAGAAGTCAAAAATTAATATACAGAATTGTGTATCTTAGTGTAGTCTACTTGTGTGCCAAGTTATATTGAAATCGGACCAAAACTGTAGAAGGAGTAGCATTTTGAAAGCATTTCACAGAAATTTCTATTTTTAGTAACCATGGCAACACTGTTCAACGAAATCAAAAACTGATGCACAGAATTATGTATCTTAGTGCAGTCTACTTGTGTGCCAAGTTATATTGAAACTGTAGGAGGAGTAGCATTTTGAAAGAATTTCACAGAAATTTCTATTTTTAGTAACCATGGCAACACCGTTCAACGAAATCAAAAACCGATGCACAGAATTATGTATCTTAGTGTGGTCTACTTGTGTGCAGAGTTATACTGATATCCGACCAAAACTGTAGGAGGAGTAGCATTTTGAAAGCATTTCACAGAAATTTCTAAATTTTTAGTAACCATGGCAACACCGTTCATCGAAATCAAAAATCGATGCATAGAATTATGTATCTTAGTGTAGTCTACTTGTGTGCCAAGTTATATTGAAATCAGACCAAAACTGTAGAAGTAGCATTTTGAAAAATTGTTTACAGACAGACAGACGGACGGACGGACGCCGGACGCATTACTATCGCATAAGCTCTTCTGGTCTCTGACCAGTACAGCTAAAAACTACTCACTCCTTTCATTGCTACAGCAGTCTGGACTCTGGCAGCCACTCCATCAACACGAGCTGCAAACCGTAGATAATTCAGACCTTCATTCTTCTTCCTAATGGCATTCTCTGCATAGATTCTTGCTCCCTCTAAGTTTTTCTGGGATATTGCCTAAAGACACAATAAACTTAATATACCTTCTAGTTATAAATTATAGCAGTCAAATCTATGCCCCCATCCCATTTTTTCTTAACATGTTTTACTATCAAATCTATATGAAATGAAACAAAATTTGATCCCCTCCCCACTTTTTACAGTAATATACATCCAATTTTTTTTTTTTGGGGGGGGGGGGGGGGAGAGGGGGAGAGGAGGTGAAAATGGAAATCCCCTCCCCCCCCCAAAAAATATATATATGTGCGCAGGTTAATTTCCCCATGAAATAAGTTGTGTTGAAGTTCATCTTAAATGAGAAAATCATATCTTATACAGGTGGAAATATACAATTGTTCTATTTAATTTTTATTTGAAATAAGATACCTGTCATTTTCTCATATGAAAAATGTTCAAGGACAATCAAGTAATGAGAAATGGAAATTATTTTTGCCTATTTAAATGACGAAAAACACATTCGAAAGACTCATTCTATTCCTTTGTCTCGTTCTACTCTAAAAATTAATTTTAACAATATTTTATTATGTATAAACATAACAGGATTGGACAGCAGACACTGTCTATTTATGTCCTCTCTCCAATAATGAACTGAAAATACTTGAATACAATTGAATAAACACTGTTAACTTGTAAAATTTTAAAATCAAAAGCAGATCATTACTGCATAAACATAATCACATGATAATATGTCATTGGAATTCTTCAATGTGCAGTGTATAGAGAGGGTCATTAAATCATTTTCATTATTATATCAATATCATCTTACAAGTACATAAGAGCTGTATTGTATATTGTTTAAAAGAGGCATTAACTAGATTTACCAAAATCTTTCACAGTTAGTGAATTACTTTGCACAAACCCACACAAGGTGCAATCAATAAAAAAATATTTAATAAAAAAAATTGATTCCATGCATGCTACATCTTTTTTTATTTTCTATTGTTTGGTTATTATAAAGTAAACATACTTATTATAGTAGTAAACATAGTGCATTTAGCAATGCTTCTTGTCCAATAATGATTGACTTATACATGTCACTGTTAAAAAAACTAGATACAATTGCCCTAAAGCTGATCATGTTTAAATTGTTAAATAGTGTGTGCCCTCATTCACAATGTATGTACACCCATACATTTAAAGTACTTCTTTGAAAACACTGGAAGCTTTGAAATTTTACATGTATCAGTTATGTACCTTCTTAATTTTGGCTTCTTCTTTTCTTTGTTCTTTCTCAGATTTGGCAGCTAACCTCTCAAGTTGCTTTTTTGTAAACTAAAATTTAAAACAATCTTAATTCCTATAGAACTACAAAATACTCATGGTATCAAAATAAACAAAGTAAATTTATAGGGAAATTAAATACATCAATGTACTAGTATTTTGTAACTTGACTTTCAAATACAGTTGTATATGTTTCAATAATATATATAAATCCAAGATATTAAATGCCATAAACTGTCTGTGGTTTTATACACGATGACCATTAGCTGCAGAACTGTAGCTCTCTGCTTGAGAAAATTTGGACAGATAAAGCAGAGAGCTACAGATCCAAGCATTGTAAAAACCGACGATTTACGCCAACGATTTTTTGTCGCTCACTATGGGTATTTTTGAAATTCGTGCATTTTTTACTTTCCCCAGGTATGAAAATCATTTTAAATGGTATTTAATAATTAACCATACATTCAACTTTAATTCCTGATCAATAACCTACCTCTCAACATCTAACAAATGGCTGTTTGTGGTTACGGACGTTGAAATGGAACTCTTTTAAACCGACATTTCAAAACTATATACAGGACTGTTTCGGACCGTTAAAAGGTAAACAAAGTATCAAATATAAGAGTCAAATATATGAATTATTATTGGATTCCACTCTAAAAGCCAGAGAAAGCTTAAACTACACCAAATAAATACCTAAAGTAGCGACAAAAAATTGTCGGCGTCAATGGGTCATTTTTATCTAGAGAGAATTTTGTGGAAAAACATAGCATTCATCATGTATGTTTTATGCAGTATAACAGCATTATAAGTGCTATTTCAAAGTTTCTAAAAGATACAAAATTTTCTAGGGTAGGTTTCTCAAAGCTACAGCGTCCATTTTTGCCATTGTTATACAAAAGATTAATATTGATTGATAAATGTTCAAAAGATATTTATAAAAGTATTAACACAAAGAATGTAAAGCCAATTGGTTTTTCAAAATGGAATTCAGAAATGCTTCTAAAAGGATTTCAAGATTTGGAGTTAAGAGATGTCTTGCATAGAATACTACCTGTAAATTATTACCTTAAAAAAATTAAAATAAAAGAAAATGATATGTGTACATTCTGTCACAATGAATGTGAAACCATATTGCACAGTCTGTTCATGTGTAAAGATGCATTGCATATTTGGAATGACCATTAGTCTACATATTTACAATTACACATCAAAACGTGTAGGTTTTAATATTCAAAATGTAATCTTTGGAGAGTTACCTTTGTCAAATTCAAACTATGTCATAAATTTTGTAATTTTATATGCTAAACAGTACATTTTTCACTGCTTAAAAAATGAGAAGAAGCCTAATTCAAATGGGCTGATTGCCCATTTAAAAATGTATTATAAGGTTGAAAAGTACATATCTGTTAAAAATCTAACTGCAGAAAATTTTGAGTCTGCATGGTCACACTGGAAAATTATGTTGGAAATGTAATCCTCTGAAAAAAAAAACATATTTAGATGAAATGTAGCATACTTTTTGTTCCCTTTTTTATCCATATAAAGTGTGTAAAAATTTGCAAAAATTGATGTATTGTTGATGTAAGGGTGAGTGAAGTGCAAAAGTGGGTGGGTGTGAAAAATTTTCTGTGCAATTTTGATAAATGTATTTGATGGTTGTATTGAAAGCATGGAAATAAAGCATTAAAAAAAAAAAAAAATTGTCGGCGTACATCATCGGTTTTAACAACGCTTGGATCTGCTTTATCTGTCTGAATTTTCTCAAGCAGAGAGCTACAGTTCTGCAGCTAAATGACCATAATGATATATGTATAATTAAGCAGGTGAACACACATGACTATATGTATATAATCAAAATAGAGATGATTTTTCTTTATGATAGGAATGTCTACTCACTCTCAACTGGAAAAGAGTATCTGAAAAAAAAAACAACAAATTTATATTTCATGAACAGATGATCATGACAAAAAGAGAGATGATGAAAGGATTTATTCACATACACCACTCTTTCTCTCATTTTAGCAGGGACCTATATTCTAAGGTATATAGTATAGTATTAGCTGCAGAACTGTAGCTCTCCGAAAAAATATATTGACAGACCGGAGAGCTACAGTGCCACCCATTGTAAAAACTATATTTATTGCGCTCTAAAAGTTGCGCTTAGTTCTGGATTAATTCTTCCAAATTCTTAATCGTAAAAAAAATTATATTTAAAAAAATTCTATACTCGTCTATCTCGTATTCGACATCTGCAGGAGGGATGCTGGAAATGGTTTGCATCTTGCAAACCAAAAGGGCAGTATAAATAGACAAAATTTTCGATGATCTTAATTTCAGGGCCAGGAAGGCTATTTACAACAATGATAAGGATGTTTTGTCATGGAATAAGTGAAATAATATGTTAGGAACACACGGTTAGTAATATTTTGAGATGACAGTCTAACAACGTGCAGAAATGCAGTCTTCACGAAAACTCACTAGCCCGACGCCCGAGGCTAGTAAAAATTGGTCTGGGCTAGTAAAAATTGTTTCAGAAGTAGCCCGACTGGCTAGAGAAAAGTAAGCAGGTACTTTCAGAGTTTTTGCTTTTAAATCTTAACCAATAAATAAAATCAAAGCACTGTAGTCCTATTCTTCAGAAAACTGCCTCATCTAACTCACGTAGCACTACTTAATAGTTTATTTTTCCATAAAAACGATCGTCTTTTTTCTCTAATCCGAATTTCCTCTGTTCGATCTTTTACGGTAAATACATGCAGAAATCCCATTGAATTAGGCCTAACTATGATTTACTCATTTAATTGAAGAGTAAAGGATTACATGAGTCAACTATGTTAACTGTTATCCAATTTATAACAATGTATCTGAAAATTTAATATGAAAAAAAAAATCACTTCTTTGGAAGAGAAGTCTAATGACCAGAAAAGGGGCTAATGTACAATACATGTAAATTATCAAAAAGCTTAAAAAAAAAACTTGTTTGTTCAAATTAATTTAAGGGGAAACTAAATAATTAAGCAGAAGAAATACAAAAGAAAATGAATTCAGTATGAAATTTAAATGGAATAGGGTGATACAACAGTTAATTCTGCAATTTCATTTCTTTTTTTTTTTCGTTGTCTATTAAAAATTTCTTTGGGCTAGTAATACTGTCAAATCCACTAGCCCTACTGGCTAGTGTCTCAGAAAAGTTTTCGTGAAGACTGGAAATGAATCGAGAAACAGTGCACTTTTTTGTGCACAATAAATATACAGTTTTTTCAATGGGTGGCATTGTAGCTCTCCGGTCTGTCAATATATTTTTGGGAGAGATACAGTTCTGCATCTAGTATATTATATAAAGGTTCCTGATTTAAGAAGGTCTAAATTTTGATTTGACAGGGACCTACAATATTATGAGTATATGATTCTTTTAGCATGTCTTTTCAACGAACAAATATGGATCTAATCAGCTAATAATTTATCGTTTAGAAACCTTTTTATCGCTCTTTTATCTCAGATTTTAAAAGACGATAAATAATTAATATTCTCTTTGTTTACATCATAGAGAAAATTCGAAACGTATCAATTTTATCAAGGAACGATATTGTATGTCTGTTACAATTTATGGAAATTACTTAAAAAATGAATATTTGAAAATATGTCCATGAGCCTTACCATCCATGATGATCAATGTTACTTTAACACTGCACTCTCTGTTGTAATGTTTATTTCAAAATATTTCTTTTTTCAATTTAGTCAGGAACTAATGAGCAATCTAAACCGGAAGTGACGACTGTTCTACAGCAGCGAAATGCTTCTTTTTATTCATTGGCTAAAATTTACAGTTTTGTTTACATTGGATACTATTTATAGAACATCACATGTAAGAACAAAGAATCTCCTCCAGCCGACAGAGTAATAAAATTATGACATAATAAATCTAATTCAGGCTATATCCTGTTATCTGCAACGCGTTGCTTATAAGTTTTGGGGTACTTCAACTGTATTTGAAAAGATAAATGGTAGTGCAACATTATCAGAAAATGGCAAATTATCGATCTTTAAGCTTTTACGGAATAAGCCGCATGATTTTAAACTATCATAATAACAAACACACTCACTCACAAAAACAAAGCAAAAGAAATGTAGTTAGCCAATAAAAAGTACCAGGAAGTCAAATATTATCGTATTTTACGCCTTTACGGAATAAGCCGCATGATATTATAACTCCTTAAAAACAAACGCACACAAAAGAAATCAAAACCCTTAAATGCAATTATACTTATGAAAGATTGATTGATTGATTGTATACTGTTTTACGTCCCGCTCCAGAATATTTCACTGATATGGAGACGTCACCATTGCCGGTGAAGGGCTGCAAATTTAGTCCTATGCTCGGCACTCAGGGCCTTTGAGCAGGGAGGGATCTTTATCGTGCCACACCTGCTGTGACACGGGGCCTCGGTTTATACGATCTCGTCCGAAGGACCGCCCCGTTTAGTCGCCTTTTACGACAAGCAAAGGGGTACTGAGGACCTATTCTAACCCGGATCCCCACGGGGTACTTATGAAAGAAAAGTACCACGAAAACGCAAATTATCGTTCTTTACGCTTTTACGGAATAAGCCGCATGATTTAAAACCTTCCTTAAAAAACAAACACACACAAACTCGAATTCAATAAAACAAAACCCTAAAATGTAGTTTGCAAAGAAAAAGTACCAGGAAAACACAAAATAACACACTCACACCAAAACGAAAGTTAGCAGAGAAAATCGTATGGTATGTTGATAAACTCTTAGAGGAATTACCCCCGACTGCATATAAAATTAAGTATTTTGTTAATATTCATGATGAAACACGTATAAATATTTTTTCATCACTTTAATTTTTTTAACACAATATGGATGTTGTTTATTTCGATATTAATTTTTATATTTTGTATAAATAATCTTTTTTGGTTCTACAGAAAAAGCCACATGAAGGACACTTGAAGGATACTTGATAAATAACTATTTCTATATCGCATGTACTTCCCCTTGACTATTTTGTTAACATTCATAGACATTGTTCTCTTCACTTTCATCTATTTGTAAAAAAAAAAAAGTATGACTGCATTCGTTGCGAAAGCTATCACATTTTATTTCAATAAATATCCTTTATTTTCCTTTTTAGCAATTTAACCAAATTTCTTGCAAGAAAATACATTTTTTTGGTTCATTATTTCAATTGAATTAGTCAGTTGAAATAATGAACACGTGAATTGAATAAAACAATTTTTTTTAATATTCGACTATCAAAACCATCTTTCAGGAAAATGGTTCGTTTATAACAGAAGTTTAAACAGCATAACAATGATATTCGTCGCCTTATACTCCTGTTATTTGCAACGCTCTATGGAGAAATCGATCATTTTACTATGGAGTGATGCGTGCAACGCATGCAAAATAAAATAGCGCTTTATTCTGTCAAATGTTTTCATTTTAGCTTGATCCCCCAAAATAACCTAGCCCCATTTTTTCTGATATTAACCCCCCAAGAAAACCCTCTTCCCGGGGAAACTTCCCCTTTATGTACATAATATAGTTTCAATACCAGGCAAATAAAATTCGTCGCCCTATATATACTCCTGTTATTTGCAACGCTCTATGGAGAAATCGATCATTTTACTATGGAGCGTTGCGTGCAACGCATGCAAAATAAAATAGCGCTTTATTCCGTCAAATGTCTATATTTTTATCTTGATTCCCCCCAAAAAAGCCAAGCCCCATTTTTTCTGATAGTAACCCCCCAAGAAATCCCTCTTCCCGGGGAAACTTCCCCTTTATGTACATAATATAGTTTCAATATCAGGTAAATAAAATTCGTCGCCCTATATATACTCCTGTTATTTGCAACGCTCTATGGAGAAATCGATCATTTTACTATGGAGCGTTGCGTGCAACGCATACAAAATAAAATAGCGCTTTATTCTGTCAAATGTTTAATTTTTATCTTGATTCCCCCCAAAAAAGCCAAGCCCCATTTTTTCTGATATTAACCCCCCAAGAAAACCCTCTTCCCGGGGAAACTTCCCCTTTATGTACTCTTATATAGTTTCAATATCAGGTAAATAAAATTCGTCGCCCTATATATACTCCTGTTATTTGCAACGCTCTATGGAGAAATCGATCATTTTACTATGGAGTGATGCGTGCAACGCATGCAAAATAAAATAGCGCTTTATTCCGTCAAATGATTAATTTTTATCTTGATTCCCCCCAAAAAAGCCAAGCCCCATTTTTTCTGATATTAACCCCCCAAGAAAACCCTCTTCCCGGGGAAACTTCCCCTTTATGTACTCTTATATAGTTTCAATATCAGGTAAATAAAATTCGTCGCCCTATATATACTCCTGTTATTTGCAACGCTCTATGGAGAAATCGATTATTTTACTATGGAATGATGCGTGCAACGCATGCAAAATAAAATAGCGCTTTATTCCGTAAAATATCTATATTTTTATCTTGATTCCCCCCAAAAAGCCAAGCCCCATTTTTTCTGATATTAACCCCCCAAGAAAACCCTCTTCCCGGGGAAACTTCCCCTTTATGTACATAATATAGTTTCAATATCAGGAAAATAAAATTCGTCGCCCTATATATACTCCTGTTATTTGCAACGCTCTATGGAGAAATCGATCGTTTTACTATGGAGCGTTGCATGCAACGTTTTCCAGAATCAGAGAATTAATATGATAAATCTGCTTCATACTTGTAATTTTAACTATTCTTAGACGCCTTAAAAACATTTCCTTTTCATTTGCTTTATTTTCTCAATGAACCTCAAATATTTAATTTAATTTGATAAGGATCGGTATACGTTATTTCAATTATTTTCTATTGTAAAAACTTATATGCAACGCGTTGCAAATAACAGGATATAGCCCTAATTCAAAGCCCTTGGTTTTATGGTTTGTAGTACTCAGCTGACTCTCTATAAAGGACGTTTCTGTCATATAATTATGTGAGAGATGTAACTTTGAAATCGGGAATATAATTTTTCTCTGTACGGACTAACGGAGTCGTCTACTCAATGGGATTCAAGTAAGTTTTTTTTCAAGCAACATAACCAACATTTGCGTTTAAGTCTATTTTTTCTTGTTTGCAAATATGTATCTATATCCGGGTAATTTATTATTAATGCAAGATGGAATGGGGGCTCAAAATTCGCGCATATAAGCCCATCTTTGGTATATATGTTCACATGATTTGTAAAATTAAACAAAAGTTCGTATCTGACTATCATAAACTATAGGAAAATGAAGTATGTTTTTACCATTTCCATGCACCATTTCTCCTACAGAAAAAATACAAATATTGTAAGACAAATACCAGTATGAAATTTTCAAAGATTGGGAATTTAAAAAAATACACACAAAAATTGCAATAATTTCAATTTCCCATACTTGATTAACAATTCAATTAAACTATTCTGACAAAGACTTGAAAAAAAGTGGTCCAGATTTATCATAATCTCTCTTTCTTAGTTCTTCATTATATCGACAGAGAATATGAGTCTGAACTCGCACAATATAAATCGGGTCAAAATTATTTTAGTAAAAATTTTAAAATATATAAGCATTATGTACAAACTCACATTCTTTTTGTAAAAAAGGGAACATATAAGAAAACAATTCATACAAAATCATACAAAGTCTTCTCAAGAATATATAACAGGCCCATAAATATTAGTAATATGGATTCAAGAGTTCCCTCAAGACCAAGTTAATTTTTAAAATGTATAGTAATATAAAGGAGCTGAACTGAATATATTCATCTCTTCATTATTCTACATTATACATATTGAGATATACATGCTAGTGCATAAACTATGGTTGCAAATTAATAAGATGTTTTATAGCATATAGAAGAAATTTCAAAAGTCTTCTCCTATTAAAACGGCATGGACAAAATTGTTGTTCATTACTGGTTGAAAAGACATGAAAAGGGTCAAACTTCAGCAAAACTTCAAACATGTAGGCCCATACATTTTTAATGTGTAAAGAAAGTTCTATCGTAGAAAAATACCTGCTTACACATGTAAATTGTCTTGAATTAAAAAAAAAATCTGCAGATTTCGGATAAGTGCATACGACCTAAGAGTTAAAAGAGAAAAATCTGACTATTGGGGAAAAAGACTTGCATGTATTACTAGTCAGAAAAAACCTTTGGAAAGAATTTTTTTTGAGTCATGTCATAAAATTACAAAAATGCAACCTGTCAATTACATATGACTATATTTTCTAATAAAAGAGAAAGGATGGCTCGAACCAATATTTACAAAAGATATGTTAGTGAATATATACATGTGTCACTATTCAGTCCTAAATGTCTTTTTAAACAATTCAAAAAACTTGATTTAAAACAATTAATTTTAACGACTTTTAGAGAGGTTAATTTAATAGTTTAATGATTACTTCGTCCGGTCCATTTTGATATATATTTTTGTTTATGTCCGATGTTGTCCCATGGTAAACACCTAGAAAGTCTTTTATTGTATTTTATCAAACCAAGTATCGTATCAATCAGTTAATTAAACCGGACTACGGCAGAATAAGAAAAAGTGTTCAAAAAAGAAATTTTGTACAAGAACTGTAAATGTAACTGTACCGGGGGTCAAAAATGTGACCATTTATAACAAATTAAGATCTACAATCTAGCCAGTGATGAATGGTGGGTCATAACTATAAAACTTCTAAAGGATACGTATCGTTAGTTTGCTTATACCACTGATGAAGTTTAGACTTTTTAACCCTTTCATGTAGCATTAAGGGCTGGAGCTGGAATTAAAAAGAAATAAAATTAGACTGGTTTTAAATTAATTCTTACTAATCATATCTGATAATTTCAATATTACTGGAATAACGTTAATGAGATGTATGTTTTAATGCCTAATGATGTATATGTACAGACATAAAAAAAACGAAATTTTGCCAATTTTATAGTGAATTTTATGACCGGTTTCACTATTCTAATTGTCACACCTGTGATTTATTTAGATTTTTTTAAATAGATAAAAGTTATTAAAGTGAAGAATTTTTAGAGAATATTTTTGATATTCTCGGCAAAAAGTGATGATGTCAACAATCTTTTAGGATAAGATATGTAGTTCATATATTTTTTTAGCTTTATCAACATGAACATACAGGAAAAAGCCTTTTATAAAACTTCAGAATCTCTCTCTCTCTCTCTCTCTCTCTCTCTCTCTCTCTCTCTCTCTCTCTCTCTCTCATTAACAACAACAGAAGATTAAAGTGTCTGGGTCGTGAAGGCGTCACAACTTAAGTGCTAGGATAACTATTTGTAATGACAACAAATTAACATAATTGTATTTATTTATTTGCTCTCGTATTTACCAATAAGACACACATGACCCACACGATTATCAAACCATATAAACAAACTCTAATGGGCTAAAATCAAATTCGCGTAACGGCCACCCCCGGAATTTAGAGATGTACCCCTTGGTGTAACCTATAATTTGTCCGTCGCCACAAACGTTTCACCCTGATTAAAGCGATGTCTTTTAAACCGAAGTTTTAATTGTTTCACTTTACACCGTATTATCAAATCAGTATAACCAACGGCGCTTTTCTACTAAATTTGATTGAAAAGTATAAAATTCACATAAAATCCACCATTTGGAACTTAAATCGTATACATAGTCTACATTTCAATACGAGTGACACAGATGAAAAAAGTCACTTTAACTTTCATATTAATTGTTACATTCCGTAGACATAAATAGTATCATTTAATCAATTACTTTGACAGATGGCTATATCGTTTTCCTTGAAAACGGATGATAATACAAACATTGACCATAGCCATTCACCTGAAATATAAGTAACTTTACAGGTTTAATTTAAAATTCAACACTTCCTAAATCTGACTGTAAGGAAAGTATTCAATTTGAGGAACAGCACAATTAATCATCTAGTGTGCATGTACTAGAAATGGTGCGCGTTCAATTTCCATGTACTCAGATATCCTAAATATCTATAGAAATGTCATGCGCATGGGTAAAAAATCGAGGGATTGATATCTTGTTATTTAATTACCTAGGAATATTCCCGGAAAAGTGCATGTAATATGACAATTTAATATGATGGTTGACAATTAACTGAAATGAGTATGCAATGATACTTTATACTTGGCACTTGTGATACTTGTAAGATTGGACGTGTTCTTAATTTGGATAATCTCAAGTGACATGATGAAATTTGAATATTATGTCACGATATTAAGTTGTATTTAACTTTAATTATAGCTTATACTGAAATGGCGTTAACTCCGGACACCAGGTTCATTACGTAACATCGATGTACATGGAGCTCGGGAACTTGTTGACCACAACATCCGGACCTTGTGTGTAATAATAACCCGACAGACAGCATCACGGGGCAGTCACTCACACGCGTGTGATTCCTTATAAAAATTACCCCACATGGGCCTCGTCATTAGTGTCGGTTTCCGCAGCTCACAGAAAAGATGAGTCCGTCCTTTAAAAGTTGTCATCGATGACGGATCAAGATTACTGCACGAGGAGTTTTTTTAACGGAGGTAAGATTTTCCTCGTCTTATTTTACAAAAGTGTTGATTAAAAATCCCTTGTTTTATTTTTTTTCCCAATCTTTAAAAAAAAAAATGTTTCATTTTACTCTAAGATAAGTAATTTTGCACGTGTTTTTAACATCCTTATATGCAATGTCTACTATGTTCTTTGTTTTACTGGGAGCGCATTGTAAAACAGTAATACTACACGATGTATTCAAAGTGGCAGGCGCATCTGTTATCAAAAAAACGCTATTGTGACACTCGAGTCAAGCATCTGCACCATTGGTTTTTTTAAAATAAAGAAAACTTTTTATTATAAATGTAGAACTACAGTTATATATATAAGCCAATAATCAACATGAATATTACATTTTAAAATTGTTCTTCAAAGCTATATGCACGTATTTATTCATCTAATTTGAATATAAATACATGTATCGATACTTCTAGGGAATCTCGTTTGAAGCCAATATCTTTAGATGCAACACGATATAAATTTTAACATCTACGCAATAATTATAAAGTTATATTTTCCTTGTGAGATCGAAATTAGGCCCACTGAAATAAAGCATAAACTTCGTCGATTTCGTACCGATAAAATCATCGATTTGAGTTTTGACCTTGTTTAATGCTTAAAATTATTTATTTTTTATTGAAAATAACAGATAATAGATATACAGGAATTGGAAAGTCAAATCTATTTAATATTGGATCCGCCCACAAAATATTATGTCGGAATTAGGTATCAGCCATACAGTGCTCGCAGTGTCAGGCTGTTACAAGCTTACATCACTTTACATGCATTTGTACTTATTACGAATGACAAAAACAATTAGTAATCGGTGTCGGACACAATTTCTGAGTACTGGCCATTTATACACACAAGATGTGAGGGGTTTCCTGTCCAAATGTCGAAATTTACACGATTTCATACACCACCTGTGCACCTTTATAATAATGTTGCAAAACAAATCAGAATTTCATTTTGCATTTTCATTTATTTCCGAACCGTAAATCTTTAAAGTACTTCCTTGTGAAGAAACCTTTTTTTAATACTTAGTATACAAGAATATGGTACCTTAATCATCTTGTACACATGCAATATCTCTATTTTTTTGCAAACATCCACAAATCAAAGAGGACGCTAATTATACAGATTTCCTCCAAATTACAGAAAACATTGACCAGATACAATTTTGACCATTTGACCTTCAAATATTATTGATATAGTAGAATCTTATCAGCCATCGCTACCGATACACATGCAATTCAGTGTAAAACGTTAGGATAGTGTGTTTATGTTTGGCACGCATCCTAACGTCTGCTCTCAGGAGCAAGATCAGAACGGGAAGAGAGATGGCATCAGATAAATAGGCTGCTTAACGACTTATGTTTTTCTGGCAATCAAACTCATAATATAATTTCCTCACAACAAACTTTTACATGCGCATGAGCAAGTTTGGGGTTATGTTGGGTTTTTGTGTCCATGGTCCTGAGGAAAACAAAGAAGAAAGAGGGTAAGGTAGATTTAAATTGTACCGAGATTTCCAAGAAATGGATGTGATACCGACATGTACCTGTCAAGAGAGCATACAGGATGTAAACATATATGTAAACTATCAGTCTGTGTGTATAATATCTAAAATAAAATCTATACTTTGGTTTGTTTCAGGATTTGAAGGACCACATACTGTTAATCAAACGAAACATCACTAATATATTGGAGACCTTTTTCTGAGAACTGATTACGAATCTATACAGAAGTTTTTAAACCGTCGTCAATGAAATATCAAGAACGTCTTATATGCAGACAATGCCCAACAAGATCCTTGTGGACGAGGACTATTTCCTGTTGGAGTCGGTTAAATCTGGAAAAGAAAAACAGGTGCGATCCATCTTGTCCAGTGGGAACTATAAGAATATCGATTACGTGGACGGGTTCGGACGCACTGCCCTCCACTGGGCTGCCGAGTACGGGTACGTGAACATTGTGTATTCACTGGTGGAAAATAAGTGGGACTTCAATGCCACAGACCACAAATCACAGACCCCGTTACATATAGCGTGTAACCACTATGGCAGTGACATTGCTTCATACTTGATCACATGTGGATGTGACGTCAATATTTTGGACAATGCTGGAAATAGTCCCTTGCAAAGGGCCATTCACACAAATCTTGAAGATGTCGTGTATCTTATATGTGAACGAGGGGCTGACATAAACGCCAAAACTAAAAATAACTGGACAGCTCTTCATGAAGGGATACGGGTTGGAAATGAGAATATAGTGCGTCGATTGATTAAAGATGGGGCAGACGTCAACGCTGTCACAAGGTACAAAGCAACGCCATTTTCGACTGCAATATTCTACTATCGTATCTCACAGAGACATGCATATAACTGCCTCGACGCCTTCGCTAAAATGTTGGTTGACAACGGCAGTCGCTTAAGTCAGTGTGATGGACAATGGTCACCACTCATGTCCTCAATATCTCTGGGAAACAGTTACATTGCCGGGCTACTGTTATACCACGGGTGCCAAATTCCCACGCTGGATCAGTACGGACGAAGTCCACTTGTAGATACATTCACAAGATGTGACCCGAATGTACTGAAACTGATGGTCTTGTGCGGCTACCAGTTGACCATTGACGAAGTGGAGCAGTGCAATAGACGTATTCCGACATTTTCAAGGTCTTTCAGACGTTTAGCTTTCTCAGGGATGGATACTTCTACAAATGGAGTCCAGATGATGGCGTGGCTCAGAGAACGGTCCCATAACCCAATCTCACTCTCAGACATGTGCCGATTCAGTATTCGTCAATCGCTCAACAAAGGCTCGGGAGATACCTCAATTTTGCAAAATATCAGGAAGCTTGTCCTCCCAACTTGTTTGAAAGAGTTTATAGCTTTGGATGAATTCAGTCATATCTGTTGAATGTCTCGAATGGAAGGTCGCATGTCGTTCAGTATTAGTTGATAAGGCAGGCGCGTAGCTGCCTATACGCAAGTACGCAAGTGCGTACACATCATTTTCAAAAAAAAAAAAAAAAAGAAAAAAGAAAGAAAGAAAGAAAAAAGAATAAAAAAAGAGAGACTTATTCGGAGAAAAAGAGCCACTATCTGTCTTTCAAATTATTTTACCTCTTATTGTTACTATTCAAATTTTGTTCAGAATATTGTTAAAATCCAGTATTTTAAAAAATGAATTCCAAAATTCTTGAGTAAGAAAATATTGTTGATCCAAAATGTTCAACTCTTAATCCGCGTAATCCTGATTATCCGGACAAATACATGTATTTGATGAGGGAAAGCGATCTAACTGACATTGATCTAAAAAAAACGGTACAACGATCTTGGACGACCACTGTATTGGTGATTAATTTCACGGGTTGTGATTTTCACGGTTTTCTCTCATCGGACACGATCGCGATTTCTTGAATTCGCGGAATTCTTATGTTATAGAAGTTACTTCCCTTATCTATATTCGTTTAATCCATACCGTAGCTACATTTAAACGGCATTCATCATTGTTATGTTTTTATTTCACGAACGACAGGTTAGGTTAATATGAAATAGTTAGACTTAATAAATAATTGACGACTAATTTATATACCAAAAAAAAATGGCAAAATTCAAATCACTGAACAAAGTAAATAAAAATATAGACCATTTATGAATATCTTCTTTTACTGATGTTACCAATTTATAGAATTTAAGTACTCTCACATTGTTTAAGCTATCAGAATATAAAGGTTATCAAAAGACCCACACCCCCGTTTATATTTTGAAATTATACTTTAACTCCAATGATAACTTATTTAATTACTTCTCTGTTTTATCTTGTCACACTTGGAAACTTTTTTCCAATACCAATATATTCGTTAACTAATTTGATCAAATTACCCTTCTCTTCCTGAAGTATGGAAGTATATAACTTAGCTAAGTGTTTGCTTGATAAAAGAGATGTAGCGTGATTTCTTTTAAAGGAAAATGACTGCAAAATGGCCCCCCACCAGGGCTTCGCCCCAGACCCCCGGCCATTTTCTGCGTACACTTCATTTCAATGCTGGCTACGCGCCTGTAAGGTGTAACTTCTGGAGTATGGATGTCTGAATAGTGTAGAGTAGAGTATAATTTTCTTGTGGCTACATGGAAATAAGTATATTTGTTCATTCATTAATTTTTTAGCATATACGTGTATAAGTGAAAGACATTACATGTATATAGATGTCAAGGTGCTTCCTACTTTATGTTTCACACTATGTGTGCCATCGCTACTGAGATCTCATAACAACTCATTGAAATCCAGCAATCAAATTAGGAGGACTTACAGCCGCTATAGTCTCCAGTATTATGAACGCTTTTATAGATTAGCAATATTTGTTTATTTATTTATTTATTTTTGAAATAAACAAGGAAAGTTAGTAGAGAATCTTTCACTTGTTTTTATTAAACAAGAGAAATGGGTTTCTGAAAGCCTGACTAGCAGGTTTATTGTGAAATAATGATAAACGCCATTAAACCTAGCGAAAAAACCCTTTAGTTCAATGTCTAAATCTATTGAAACTGTAATAAAGTCACTCACAATTTCTAAAAGCATAACAAGAAACAGCAATTAATGCTAGCAGCAAAAGATTGAAACAATAACAGGATCAAAGAATGCGCATAAAAAGGTACATGGTGTGCAAATATGTTTCTGCGGTGAGTTGCATGCATGTTTCTTCGAATACAAAACAATTCACCAGTGGACTAATAATGTAAACAAGCCAGAGCGTGTACTACAGTTAGGGTACTAAATGACTCGTGTCTTAGCATGGATTCAATACAAAAAAAAAACCCTCTTGAATGGTATAGTTCTTTGTGCAGAATTTCAACAGAACACAACACAGTGAGTTTAATCATTTTAAAAGGTTTTGAAACAGCACTATGTTTCAAAACGACACGTATAGTCCGACCTTATCCGAACAAGATTAATATTATAATTTACTTTTGACGATTGTAGGTTTTTCTGTAAATAAAGTTGTGTGAATTATTATTGAGAATATCCATTAAAATCACTTTATACACTTAACATCGACATGGTTAATTAACTAAAGGGAATATGCTACAACATAGCTGAATACACGCAGTTTAAAGACAATATTCAATGTTTTTTAACCGAAAACGTTAGAATGAAACATAGTTTAATCGTTTTTCAATCAATTTTCAAAGCAGCACAACAAAGCAATACCACACGTAAATCTTGCAAATGCGCCTTTTACTTGTCTCTATTTTGCACGTGATATCGTATGGTTAACCATTAAATGTGTTGAACATCTTTCTCGATTCAAGTCGCACTCAATCAAAGCTGTTCTTAACCAAAAAACTTAACTCATTTTAATTCAATTAAGTGTCGCTCTCTTTAAAAGAAAGAATCGAGATGACCTGATCTGGATTATATACAGGTTTATTACTGGTCACGATACTATCTTTTAACAGACAGGTCAATAGGTCGTATTCCGTGTCACCATCAATGCCCCTTTCACTGAAATGTATTTTCATTTACTTCTTTCTATAAGGTGTTTTACAGATAAAGTTACAATTACCCTTTACCTTGATTAACAAACCACAATGATTCTACATATTCATTTACTATCGTAGTATCAGTTGAATACAAAGTAAAGGTAACAATATTGGCATGATAAGGGTTTCCAGGATATCTCTGTTTACAGTACTTCAGTTTATAATCCATTCACCAAAATGCATATGTGTCACTTTCAACAAATATAAAATACTAGTCTTCTAATTAATTCAATTTCTTGGCTCAAATCCCACGTCCGCGCACTGATAAAACGCTTTCGGAGCCTGGTTATTGTTGGGTTCGTATGTCACTTGTAAGAAGTGCATAGTGTTAGGTGGTTCCATAGGTGCGAGGACCTTCACCGTGTAGATATGGAGTGAAGGTTCGCCACCGTCAGGAACGGTGGCCAAAACCTTTGGTGCAACAGTCTGTCTCTCACTCAGAGAAATAACGAACTTCCCGGGGTTAGTTTTGTTGTAATGGTCCAGATTCTTCATGAATGTGACGGTGATGTTCTCCCCGCGACCGTAGAAGGTGGCGTCACGTCCAGGCTGGCGACCTCCACACGGGGCGGTGGTCAATATGCAGTCATTTGCCCCAGGGGTATTAATGCCCGACATGCTTCCTCTTTGGGGCGGGCTGAGGAGGCAAATATGACCATAACCTACCGCAAAAATGGACGCTAGCAGAAAAAGCTTCATAGCTCTATTATTGTTGGGAGCTCTACGTTGAAAAACCGAACTCAGCCAATTTTAATAATTCTGAAGAAATGCTGATTGGTCCCTTTCTGGGTTAGTTTATGAAGACTTAAAACCTCCCTTATCTAACTGTAACAGTACAATATGGATATATTCACATAATTCATAATAACAAAATCTGACCATGCATGTTCTAGATAGTGTTGATAATCTCTCATACTGGGTTAAAACGACAGACACTTTACCATTTATAGAAGGACAGTCATATTCACTTCAGCATTAAGATTATTTTTATCCATGTCTTCGATTTGAATGATGAATACAGAAACAGAGATACAAACATTCCATACTAATATAAATGAATCTTTTCAAAGTTTGTGAAAAAAAGAAAAATAACAAACCAAAATGCATGTTTTAAAATTTAGTTTTATTTACATTTTTTCAATTTCAACATTTCATCAATGAAAATCAAGCATTGTGGAAAATAAAGCAGATTATTGGCAGGGAAAGAAACTAATGCCTTTATAAGTTTATGTTTGAGGGGGCTCAATAACTTATATCTATACAACTGTATACCTTGTACTGTAAATGAGAGTGCAGACTTACAATGATTAAAACTGTTTACACCATGCATGTCTGTTGTCAATGCAATAATAAATAAACAAGAAACAAACTTATATAAAGGTTGATTCCTTAGCATCTACAATGTCACACTATTACTCAAATGAAGCTTTTACACCTGGAAGAAAGGGATTATGATATGTTTATCTTCCTACTAGTACCTGCTCAGCAGAAACAACAGAATTATATACTTTTTCATTTATTCTCAAGTTTTATTGTGAATTTCATAATTAAAAAAAATTAGTAAATGTATAATACAGTGTTTAATTTTAAAATTCTAAAATGTCATAATAAACAACCATTTTGCTGCAACTGAATTAAAAAAGAAGCACTTGTTTCACAGAATGTATAGAGCAGTGTTATCTCATTAATACCTTACTGTAAAAGTAGTGGATACCTGTATAACACAGGAAACATAGAGTCAATTAATTCTCTTACAGGCAGATCAGTAATGGGATATCGCAAACACACAAACATACAAAAAATTGGTACATGTATATCTTTCTACTCCATTTCAAGCAACATGTGGATTTTCAATAAAAAAAAAAACAAAGGAGAAAGAAAGAATGTGCATCTATTGCATTGATATGCATCATCTTGGAATGTTAACAACCATATATGCATCAGTAAAATACTGTAATAGTTTGTCATCAACCAATAAGTATAAACGGTGTAATAGCATCATTTAGAAAACTTACACTTCTAGCACTTTCATTTTCACAAAAAATATATATTTTTAATACAAATATTAAACATAAAATTATTAAAAATTAGCATTTAAACGTTCTCTTGCATTTCAAAATTAGAAGAAAAAATCACATGCATTTGGTGAACTTTAGAGAAATTAGCAACATGTTTGAGAATGTACAAGTGAAGAAAATCTTTGTTCTTTTCACAGATTGATGTAAAAGACTTGTTCAGAATCTGAATATGAGGAAGTAACCGTGTGCCAAAAGCACAAGATTTCGTTAAATATCACATCATAATCACAGACTGTCTTCGGTTTACCTCTGACATTATTGTAGAATCTTTGAAAGGTCAAAGGTCATCCCTCAAATCCCAAGGAAGCAAAGAAAAGATTCTTCAGAGTTGGTGAAAAAGCAGCCACACATATTGAGTCATTGTTTTGTTTCTCAGTCCATGCTTGCCATTAAAATTTGAATTTCACGAAGCAGCTGTCCAATTTTCCCTGGTGCTCCCATTCTCTTTGATATTGATGTTCGGATCATGGAAAGATTTTCATAGCATTGTCTACATTTTCGATACCTGCAAAGATAAAATGACATAAATTAATGGTGATATATAGCTAACATGGTTGAAAATAACGTGTTTTAAAATCTATGATTTTAAAAATTCTCTTCAACAAAATTTTATGCTAAACAGTATAAAAAAGTGAGAGGAAAAAAAATGATACTGCTGTCAATGAAATGTTTACTTGATAAATGTTTGAGAGCACATACCTTTCTTCTCTGGATATATCCACCCCTTGACTTGGTGGTGCAGTCAGATTAGACTTTATCACTGGTCCAAAATTCTTCAACATAATCTTCAGGGCTTCACAGGCCGCTGTCACATAACTGAAAAGACAAAGTTATCTGAGAAGTTTTGTTTTCCTTTAATATGCAATGAAATTCTATTAAAGTCTCATTAAATTTTATTCAGCAGTATAGGAGGAAACTGCAAATCTGAGATGGGTATGTACCCCAAAAGTTACAAAAGGACTTATGATTGGAAAAATAAACAAATTTGTCTTGGAATATGAATTTAAACTGTTAAGACATGAGTTACTATATCAACTAATAATGTAATAGCAATATAAAAAGCACTGATCCATCAGCTTTAATATGTGATAAAAACATCAAAATTAATGGATGCCTTCATTATCCGTTCTTTACTTCTGTATAAGTATTGGAGTGAATAGAGTCATCTGGATAGACACTCAGGATTACTAGAGGACACCTGCGTACACTGATACAAAATCTTAAAAGTATCTCACCTGTCATATTTGCTGTCCATTAAATCTTGTACTTGAGGCAGCAAACAGGAACACAGATCTAAACTCCACAACCCTCTGTAAATTGAGATATTAAAATTAAATTTATACAGTATACATTAAAATTTGACAATAAATCAATGCAACCTCTTTTATACTGAGCAACCAAGATAAATTATTGCAATGTTTCTATATTTAATTACAGTGAATTTTTTATGGTATACAAATGCCTGTGGTAAACTGGTAACATTAACTTAAGGACCCTCTCTACACCCGTACAAAATGTTTTTTGGATATTGAGTAAAATATATTCTATAAAGGTGTTAGTATTGAGCTTATTTATATGATTTTCAACATATGGTGCGTGGCATTTACAACCAGGAAAAATAATCAAACACAACACAGTATCAGTGAATAGAAATCACTGTTGTTTACTTCCATAGAGAAAATAATGTAAATAACATGTTCAATTAATTTATCTTGGCCTTTTAAAATGTTAAGAACACCTGAATTGATTACAGATTGTGTAATAAACTGTAAATTTCTAAAGAATTTAGATCTAAGGGCAGATCACTCTAACTGCAAAAAAATACCATAAAATCAGAACTCTTTAGTGTGCAGCGTAGAGAGAGTTCTTAAGAAAACAACCCATTTTACTTTTCCTTACATCCGGAATAATATACAAATGGATTGTCAATACTTACGATTTTAAGTTTAATACATTGAGCAGATCGACTATCACAGAAGGATCTTTCATACTTATAGCTGAATCAACTGCAGCCTGAAAATAAATGTTTGGGTATGTCTTTATGGCTTAAGTAAAAGACCTCTAATCATACATGTATATCATTTCTATCTAAAACAAAACTAAAGAAATAATAAAAACATTAGTTAATATTGAAATAATATAAACCTTTGTGTTTCCCGATGTCCACATGGCTCGGACTATTTGAAGATTCTTGCTTCGGTGTGCTAATACTTTAGCCATGGCATCATGTCCACTGGACAGTGTTGACATGGCTTCTCCCTCAGAAGGCACTCTCTGTCCACCAAAGCCCAAATCTCCACCCGCCTTCTTCAAAAGAGAGTTAATATGTTCTTATTATTTAACAAGTAAAACATTAACCATCCTGCATATGCCATTTCAAACTTTCAATTATACAATTATTTTCTTAAGAACATTTTACAGCAATAATGTCATCAATATTTGTTTGAAGCAAAAATACTTAATGGAAGATGAGAAAATTATGGTTATACATGGTGGGTTTAGAAATATTATTCTACTAATTTAGAATACAAGTACAACTTACAAAGTGCAGGTACAAGTACTTCCTATCAAACATATTCTTAAAGAAATTCTTATCCTTCCATTCAAATTATTCCATCTTTAACCCTTACTGGTAGAAAGTCCTCCGGTGAAATGCCAGATTTGTCTTCCTCTGGTTGCCGTGGACTTGGTTTACTGACCGGTTTGACAGATGGTTTGTTGGTTGACTTCGGTGTGACTTTGCTGGTTTTGGTTGGTGCTGGCTGTCTGACTGGTTCCATGTCACCTAGTTAAGGTAGTGCCATCAAATCAGTAGAGAGAGGTCTTAACAATTACCATATACATGTATAGTAGATGTACTGTGGAATCATTATTGACTGTTTGTGGAGGAAACAATGTTTTGGATTTAGTGGGTCACCCTTATCCACCAATTTGTATCCCAACAAACAATTATTTTATCGACATACTTTTTACATTGAATAGTCTGAAATAATTAGTTATCCAGGAAATTACATTCCCATGAACCAACAAAACTTTGCTCACCCACAAACATTGACCCCCATGAATTAAAAAGATTCCACATTAAATCGTCTTGGAAAAAAAAAAAACATGAACACTCGTTGCTTGAGAAAAAGTCTCACATGTCATGACAGATGCATTTAATTTTTCCATTTTTTATTTTAAGAATATTTTGCAAGGCTCTATTTATCCTAAAGATAATGAAAACAACCACTACCTCTTTAAAATCTGCATACAATAACCAGTCCAATAAGATTATAAATTCTCTGATCTACCAGAATGAAACCTTAACATGATACACAGATATAAACATGTAATTAAGGGGTATAAGATTATACATGTATGTATGAGGAAAGTGAGTCATGATTAGATAGTTTAATATATGTCTACTCCCTATATTTTTCTCTGATTCTTCTCCTAATTACAAGTACTCAAACTTTGAAGTACCACTTTTTTTCCAGGCTTTTCATCAAAGAATCAGAGAAACATATCTACATATATTTTACATTATGATATACATATGGATAAGTATATGAGCTTTTTCTTAACATAAGCCTTGGGAAGCAATATAGAGCAAAGAGGGGACAATGCATTCCTACACCATTCCAGGACACCTCTCCAAGATAGTCAGCATGCAGCGTATACATATATATATGGGGCCTACCATCGTCCGAGACTGACTTAGATGACTGACTTTTGCGTAAATGATTGGATTTACGCTCTGCTGACCTTTTCCGTTCTGAGGAGAGTTGTCGGTTGACATTACGAGGAGAAGAGACATTTCGTTTTGTTTGGAACATACCATCGTCAGGGGGAGGTTGGAATGGCTCTACGTGCCGTGATGGGGAATGTTCTAGTCTAGATTTGGGTCGAAATATTTCCCTGTAATCTTCAGGATTTGCGATTTCAAAAGAATCGTTATCTTGTTCCTCTCTGTCTTGTGTTGGTTCTTCGATGTCTTCTTTTGGTACACTGAAAAGAAAAAGTTCATTGTAGATCAAAAGAATATTTTACCCTTCTAATAAATCCATCTTCAATTACTGTCTGCTTTAACAATGTCAATTTTATATTAAACAAAAATTAATTTTAAATAGAATCCTTTAGGACATTCAAATTCAATAAATCAACAATTATCTTCTTTCTTTTTTTTCACTCTACTTAAAACAACCAAAAAAGTCATTCTTGAGCATGCTTTAGTAAAACCCTGACAATTAGAGCTGAGAGCAATAGATGACAAGTAATGGTCCTACCTGGCCTGTCTTGAGGACTGGGTAGGGGGTCTCTCAGTGATGAATTTATTTCTACTGCTGAAGGATGAAAAACAAACACAAAACGTTTAAGCAAGCCGCAACATGCAGTCAAATGACATTGAAAAAATAGAACATTCAAATTTGATTCTGTCTCTGAGAAATCTCTTTCTTCCATTCCATTTTACCCCATGCAAATGCCATGTGGTTGAGAACTTAATGCAGAAAATTATGTTACATTGTTACAGAGCAAAACGACAATTCACATAATTGAATAAATAAAGCATGTCCTACCATTAATAATTGCAAATAATGTGTCTTTAGATGTTTACATGGATGATTTGGAAATACATGTATTCATGTTAGGTACAAACCAATTAATGCACATCATAAAAGATGTTAATAGCAACATACAGACCCTCAAAACATTAATTCAACATTTGTTTAAATATTCAAGAGTTACAATTTTTTCCCTTCTCTTTATATAATGTAAACATGATAAACTTAAAGAAAACCTCCAACTGAAAATGATGTGACCCCACAATAAACAAACAAAAATTATCTACTTCCTAATATATCATAATCTAAAAATATCTTGGTCAAAATTGAAATTATCTAAATCTATTTATATACATTTACTTCTGAAAAAACATACTCAGAAATAAAATATTCTTTTCAAGACAATCAATCAAAACTTTTTTGTTGATAGTAAGATCACCCTCCCCCCTTTTCATCAATTTTAATAGCACATGCATACAGTGAGTACAACAGCCCAATATATTAATCATGCAGCCTATAAAAGTCCCATTTCCAAGAATACATGTAATACATACTGTTTAAGGCCCTCTGATACAGAGGAATTAGAAATACTTAGATCTGTGAAGACCTCATCTATATTTTTACTGAAAATGAGATGATAAATATGATGAATAGAAAATTCAAATGGGAACTGTAATAGCACACAAAATGGAAGAAAATTGATGCATATTATTTCAAAGTACCATGGGCCACAAGGCTCGCCTAAATCAACTAGATCCTGCTGTTGTATAGAATAAGAGAAATTTTGACCCCCAAGGGCCTCACCTTAGCCCCAAGGGATCATAACCTAACTAGTCCAAACTATATGGAGATGCTTAAAAAGTATGGCTTTCCTGTTCCGATTAATTCTTTTTGGGGGGATACATTAAGTTTGTTTTATGTCAATTTTAATTCCCTTCACTAATCAAGGCAATGTATCCATAACAGTATGATTAAGGGTGATTGCCCATGCTATCTATGAACATTTGTTTTCTTAAATCCTGTACTTTCCCAAATATTTCCTTCCACTTTATATAATGAAAATCCCACTGTCTTACGTTTTCCCTCTTTAGGCCATAATAAATATATTCCTAGATTCTCATCCCCTCCCGCCCCGATTTTTTACTCCCGCCTCGATTTCTTTTTATTTCTGTTTTTCTTCATCTTAATTCTGATCGGGATTGGTATTCAGCCACCATTCAACTTTCGTTTTATATCCCGTAAATGTCGGCACGATTTTGACAGCTGAAAAGATGGTAATTGCTATAATATATGTTAAACTAGGGTCATTGGTTCTGAAAGATTGGTGATGATGTGTAGTAAGAGATAAACGGACCTCTACCATGACTTTTATTTGGGTATTATAGATAAATCTGCACCGAATGAACAGGTGAATAAAAATTCTGCAAAATGGAAAAAAAAAATATATAAAATAAAAGCCGCCCGCCCACCTTGATTTTTCAAAAAATTCGGATGAGAATCTAGGAATTTTTTTATTCTGGCCTTATCTAAATGTTTTGAGAAACAAAGGAAAATATAACTTTTTATATATTTAAATTTTATAGACAACTGATGACAGACTGATATCTTTGATCAGGAAAACTCATCCGAGTCTAGGACTTGGTGAGGTTATAAGGATGACTGGGTTAAAATTTCTTATTGTGGAGTAAATAAATAGAATACTTACCTAGATAGATTAGATCCTATTTCTTGATGTGGGATACCACCAAAGGGCTGCACCCTCTGTAAAAATAATGTCAATTCTATATCTTATAGATTCACTTTCTTTTCATATCAAATTCTAAAGGTGAAAAGCAACACATATATGTATTTATTTAATACACTTGAAACTGTAAATGCAAAAAGAATATATTTTCTGCAACTACAAGTATGTGTTACAGAAGTCTTTTTAAATTCAGTTTTGAACTGAACTATAGGTTATTGTTCTTTTTGTTTGTCTGTTTTTATTTTTAAAAAAGGCTGCGTTAAAATGTTGAATAAATCTAACCTTCAGATCTACTACAAAAGTTGAAACATTGGTCTGTGAAAATGATGCCCCTATCTGCAAATGAAAGAAAAAAATCTAGTATTAAAATCTGGTATCCCTAAAATAAATATTACACAATTAATATTGAATCAAGTCCAACATTTCAATCCATAACTGTGTTTTAAATACTAAAATGAGCTCAGCTCTCCATTCCAAAATGTTGGAAAATTTTTTTATATAATGAACTATGGTTACTGGTAAATATTTCACTCTGCAATGTATTAACGTCTAAATTATTTAGATTAACACTCGGACTATGAGACAAAGCTATAAATCGTACCAGTTGATTCTGTCCTAGAGCCATGTCTGCTACTTCTCCCCAATTTACAGGTATAGAGTCGTAACATTTGGAGGGTTCCCAGGAGTACACTTTTAGTAAATCTTTTGTGCCACTAAATAAACAAGTTCCATCTGGGTGGAATAGTATGTTTCTGAAAAAGATATCACCAAGAAATTATATTTTTAACAGACAGCAGTTTACAGAAGCAATGTGATGCCTGAATGAACCTAGGTTAACTTAATGCAAAAAGTGGCCCTGTCAGTATAAAGTAAAACATGGCTATTGCGAATACACTTATTCTGAATTCATGCTTACAGCTATGCTATAAGCATGTTTTACTGCATTTTGTGCCATCCTAGGTGAAGATTCCTTGTTATCTATAAAACTAACAAATAAAACAAGACCTCAATTCAAATAGGACAAGTATTATGTAAAAATATTTTAATATTTCTTTCTATAAGTAAGCATATATATATGCAAAGTTTAGCTTAGAGACTGTTCTTTTTATATTACACACATTAAAAACAAGCTGAAAAAATGATGGCTGGTTGAGACAAGAATTGTCATGATACTAAAGTTATAATAAAGTGAATAGCAAGAAAATTACACTAATTTTCTAAGGTGTCATCATAGAAAAAAGATTTTTCTTCATAATTAGAATGAGTCAAATACATATAGGACCATTGTGAACTTATATTCTGAAAAGGAATCATTTAAAATCAAGAAACAAACTTTAAGTGGGCAATTAAATTGCAACATAAAAAGACTGTATTAATTCTGTCTACCTGATTGGGGTGGAGTCTCCATCAGTCGTGGACACCATATTAAAATTCTCTAAATCCCAGAATTTCACAGTCCTGCAAAATTATAAAACATATTGTATATTTGGAGAAAAGTTATATTTAATCATAGAATCACTTTTGTTTTCACACTTCAGAAACACAGGAATTTCCGTGCTTACTTGTCAGAACTTCCTGATGCTAGTAAGAGTTCATTGGGATGAAATTCTACAATATTTACTGGTCCCTGGTGATATGTCAAGTCTGTCAGAATTTTGCCAGCAGTGATATCCCAGATCTGTGTTGAAAAAAGTTTTTATTCACTCCTAAATGATCAAGAGCAGTACTATATCAAATCTGATAATTCATATGGAATATTAGAGGTGCCAATATCATAAAATGAAAATTCATAAGGAAGGAGTCCAGAGCCCATACCCCCCCCCCCCCCCTCCCGAAAAAAGTAAGAATAGAGAAATCCTTACGTCTGTTTTTGATGCTCAAACTACCTAAAGCCAAATTTATTAGGCAGCTCTGCACTGGGAGATTACCACTACAATATGCATTTAGATGGTTACATTGGAGACTGATTTTCTATCAATTTTCAAATTGGACAAACCTTCACAACACTGTCTTCTCCAGCTGATGCTATCCATTTTCCATCAGGACTGAACCTCACACAGTTCACTCCATTCTTGTGGCCCTGAACAAATATCAGAGAATTTAAAATCTCACTGAAGAGCAATTTATCTGTTCTGCTTTCAAATTTTGTAGCTATAATCACTGATAAAATTAAAATGTTCAAAGATATATGGTTTCAAAGAAATTCTCCAAAAAAAAAAAAAATTAAATATACCCTGTATGTATAAATACATCCTTTCTTTCTGATATCCCACAACTGGAAAAAAAAAATAATAAGAAATATAAAGATTATTTCCATACTTTACTAGATTTCTTCCAACATTAAGGTGTTGTGAACATTTTTTAATCAACAGTATTTTTCCTGTTAATTTTCACTGTTTTCATTATATAACAAGACCCATAAACACCCTCCTTTGAATGTCAAATATTAAAATATAAAACAAATCTACACTCCCTCAACTATGAAACTCTATCCTTAGGAATCATTTTCCCTCTGAAGCTACAAAAATTCTGTCCACACTTTAAAATCTATGTGATCAGCTGGTTTTAGTTTACCTTAACATTGCAGTCCAGGGAACCTGAGGTGCAGTAATCCCCATAAGGATGAAAGTCGAGGCTCTTAATACTGGAGGTGTGTCCGGTTAGGGTTCTCATTACTGAAATGTCATCAAGTCAATTACTAAACAATAACTAATTACTGTATTTCATAAAATAAAAAAAACAAACACAATTCTCAAATTTTTAACAACTATCTTATAAGAGTACACAATGCATTGATTGCAAACACTGTTTCCAAATATAATTCAGAAGTCTTTCTAAATTCAACATAATTAAACAATATTTAATCCTGAATACTTGTGTGTGTGCCAAGTTATATTGAAATCAGACCAAAACTGTAGAACGAGTAGCAAGGAATTTCACAGAAAATTCTATTTTTAGTAACCATGGCAACACCGTTCATCGAAATTAAAAACCGATGCACATTCTATGTATCTTAGTGTAGTCTACTTGTGTGCCAAGTAATCTGAAATCTATTCAATATTGCAAAGCTTCTTTACAAATGATTAACATAGATTCTTTTGCAAAGTTTCTTCACAAATATTTGATGATCTTATATATGTAGACTCCCTTACTTTTGGCTTGTTCCAGATCCCAGACCTTCAGGGCCCCAGACATAGACCCTGCTACAACCATCTCTTCTTCATGTCCAAATCTGACTGATTCCACTGGGGTAGTGTGTCCACATAGGCTCTGTAAAAAATCATGAATAAATCAACAGTTTTACCAAATGAATAGTCCTGGAATGCACAGATATAAAATTACATTTTAGTGCTAGACTATGAAATACTATAAACTTTCAATGGACAAACATGACAAATGAAAACAAAAGTATATTTATGATAAATACTGTAATTTTCATGAATAAATCCTTATCTTTGATTCCCTAATAATATTTTCAGAATAATTTGTGGAAATCTTACAAATGCTAAAAGGAATTGGGTTTTACTCCATTAGTTTATTTTCTTACCATCAAGCAGTTTGGTTTGCCAACAATCCATAAATTGACCTTTCTGTCCTCTCCTCCTGTAACTATTACTCTGCCTGACTTCCTGCTCAGAGCTACACAGTTTACATTGTTGCCATGTGCAACATATTCCTCTGAAAATTAAAAACAAAATGCATATCGATATCAGGGTTTGACATTAACATTAATCTGTTAGTCTCAGACAAATACATTAATTTTTCATTTGGACTAATAAAATCTGTGGCTAATTAGTCCAAACAGACTCAAAAAAAATTCTGGAAAAAATAAATAATATACATATATTATTTATTTTTTCCAGAATTTTTTTCATTGGCAATTTGGCGCTCAGTTTTAGGACTCATGGTATGAAATTACACATTTTAGCTATCATCATGATTTAATCATGTATAAAGAAAAGGGAATGAAATCAGGAATACGATTGTTGTTCCTGATCGCGAGTTTTAAACGATTATTGGAATAAAACATTTCATGTAAATGCTTTGTTTTTTTTTTTTTTTGTTGTTTTTTTTTTTTAAGTATAAAAGTACATAGCAATGTTTGTTGTTTTTTTATTTAACAGACTCATAAATCGGCCTGCAGACAAGTAAAAGTAAATAAGCACTAGTCCGGCTGGACCATGGCCTAAAAATGTGTTGAACCCTGCATAGCTTTATTGTTAACTTAAAAAGACATTAACATAGACAATGCAAGTTTGTTTTTGAAAAGAAAAACTATAAGTTAACAATCGCAAAATGTCTCTACTGACCAATTAAATCTCGTTTTGAATTTTTTGTCGGATGGCAGAAAACTATAACTTGGTTTTAAAATATGTCTAGAATTAGGATATGAAAGGAATTTGTCCAATGCTGCAGAGCAGAAATATACATCCCTGACCATGCACATAAAGTCTTGTGCTGTAAATTGCACATTATTTTAAGTACAGGATATGTACAGTCTACGCGAAAGTTGAAAATTGTTACCAGACAAAATGTCTGGTAAAAATAAAATTTTTACCAGACCAAGCAATTTTTTACCAGACCGACTTTTTTTCCTTTAAATCCATACATCATTATGATACTGAGATTGAGAGGATGGTGGGATGGGGTTAATTCTCACTGTGAAATTTAACCTTATTGTTAAATGAATTCAGAGTGAAATGGACATGTTAACTATTTATAATTTTCCTTTGTTAAAAGTATCTATACAATTGCATGTATTTTTTTCCTTCATATTTGACTTGTACAACATACACTGTATCAAAAAAAATTCTTAAATTTAATATGCACTTTCAATGCATATTTATTTTTCCTGAAACAACTCATTATGGTTACTCAAGTTTGATGATCATTTGAAAAAAAATTCCCAATTAAATCTAAATGTATGAGCAATTATCTAAATATTTTCCCAACCAAATCTATACGTATGAGCTATCTAAAGATCTCTAACTCTTGACAGAGGAAATTCAATTCAATTCGAATTAGAATAAAAACGATCATGACAGGGTTGTAATATATAAAAATTAATCAGGTATTACTGCTAAATTGGTCAAATAAAGGATATTTGTGGGGAATTGGACCATATTTACCTCTTAATTTAGATTTATTTGGCCTTATTTTTTATGTCAACATGACGTGTGAATTCAAAGAGAAAAAATATGTTTTAAAAAACAGTGGAAGTTTTGTCTTAATGTGGATTATTTTTAGGTTAAAGGCATATGCGATCTCCAAATTGATTATGATTAATCAAATAATTTGGTAGTTAATTTCATAATTATTGGTTTGTTATGATTAATTTCGGTAGGTATTTTAAGCGCAGCTCCATTTCATTTTGGAGCAGATCCACTCCAATTTGTAACATGGAAACTATATCATTATATGGGATGTATTTTATTTGGACTGATGCACTCACTCTCCAATTATTTGTTACAATATTATAGATAGGTTCAAGTCAAATTTTAGTTTTTTTTGGAGTGTAATTTACGCATTCTTTCTTTTATGGTTCACCTTAAGCAACAGTATCTAACTAGGTAAGAAAATAAACTTTATATTCTTTCTTATGCGAAAACTACGAATTACAAGAGACAAATTTAGACAAGAATACCACGTACGAAGCTTCCATGATCTTTTTGTTTGACTCATTTTCGTTAAAGTCTATTGAATTTAAATATCCTATATCAAGTCTATGAATTCAGCTCGTTAGTCTTCATGGTGATTAGGAAATCAATTCAACGTTCGTTAATTTTGTCATCCTCTCAACCATCCAAACTGCTATGAAATATGGCTGAACAATGTGCTTCCTTGTAAAACCTTTTACGATTGGCTGTTATCGTAACCGGTAGTGCTCCGTACTCCAATGGCATTTGTCTTAACAAATAAACTGTACTATTTTTTGCGCATGCTTGACAACTCAATGTCTTCCGATGTAAACAAACTTATGAAATTTCTTTCGGTAAAATGTTTCGTGTTGCAAGAACCTTGATTTCTCGAGGGATTCTGCAAGTTCAAACAAACCGATGTGTTCATTACATACAAGGTCAGAATCTAGGACCTAAAATTCGGGAATATTTTTATTTTATAGATCATCAGGGCCAGGTAAGTACAAACCAAATGATAACCCGAATTTCCTCTAAGTTACTTGAAACATTTACAAAATTTCTTTTAAGCCACTTATCTCAGCTCATCATTTCAGTTGTTCCTCGATGATGCCAGGATAAAGAATTTTACATCTTGCTTTAAAGGTAAGCGGGAGATTATCTCTTGTAAATTGAATTGCATACATGTGTACATGCAAGTCAGGAGAGAAAAAAATCTAACGAACCAAGCTGGGATTCGAACCCAGGCCCTATAATCTCCAGTCAGGTGCTCTGCCAACTACGTTATCTGGCTGCCAGGGAACGCAATCATACAACTGCCCCATTCCTACCTTTTTAAAGGTCTTTGACCCCCCCCCCCCCCCGAACAGGTCCAGGAAAATCACTATATTAAGCTACATAGCTTAATTTACCTATATAGCTTTATTTACCTATATAATATAGCTTTATTTAGCTATTTTAGAATAAGTCTCTGTTTTATGAAAAGCAGACAAAAAGTGGCATGAAAATTATGGTTGATATTTTTTTAAAAGGTTTGATAAAAACAACCTAGGGCATTGATAGTAAAAACATTGCCTCTTTTAAACACTTTTTAACCAAAAAATGCATCTCTATTGTTAAGATAACTGTCCCTCACTGGAAGTGCAATGAGGCATGACTAAGTGTGATTGCCTTGCATTGTGCTGAATTATTTATACCAATCAATTATCTTGTTGACCAAAGCTGCTTTTCTTTGTTAAAGTAGCTGCTAAATCACAGCTTAACTGTTATGCATAGCCTCAAAACTTTTAGATCTTTGATTGCAATTGCACAAAAGGAGAAATGTTTTCAGAAGTGGGTTTTTGGTGAATTGTTTTCAGTCCATTTTAAAGTTGAAAACTAATACTGCCTCATTATGCGACTTTTTGTCTACTTTTCATAAAACAGAAATTTACTCTGAAATAACTAAATAAAGCTATATTTTATAGGTAAATAAAGTTATATAGGTAGATTTAGCTATATAGCTAAATATAGTGATTTTCCTGGACCTGCCCTGCCGAAGACACCTGGCCCTTCCCAATCTCAGCGAGATTTGTAGGGACTTAAACTTTGATCTGGAGTCCACTATGAATCTCAGCCCAGTCCAGAACATGACTCCGGGTTTTTTTTTTAAATTTAAAAATATTAGGTTTCAATCAAATGCCAATATTCTGTGCAAGCAGATTTTACTTTTTCTCACATCTATGGATTGGCCATGTATGGTTTAAAAAAATTAAGGGGAAACAAACAGCTCATTTACCTGAATAAGTGTGAACTTTTACACATTACATTATAATATATGGTATGGTTTGTGATTATTATGTTATTATTATATGATTAAAGCATTGATTTAACTCCTCTTGATTTTTTTAACTTTCAGAAAAGGATTTCTTGGTGTTCTTTTTTAAAAGGCTGAGATTAAATGAAACTGACAGATATACAGAGGAATTTCCTTATCTCTCCCCCTGTGGAAGGGAACGGAATTACATTCGGTGTGATGATAAAGCCATTGTTTATACTCACCTTATAGAATCGGATTCAGGAGAAGCACTTTTATCCTACGGAGGTGCTGGCAATGCTATGACTACTGAATTCTTGCCCACCCGGATATGCATGTTGCCCAATACTGGGCGAGTTTACCACCCAGCCATGGCCACAGTGGGTGGTATTGGACTGATTAAATCAAGTCTTGCCATAGAACTCAGTAAATATTTTGAATTTGAAAATGGTGAAGATCATCCTCCAACTCATTTCAACTGGAAGGGAAAAAGACTGCCTCTGACTAATGATTTAATTGACTTGATGGATAAAACTCCTTTTCAGATCAGAGAAATTTTGGCAAAAAATAATTGATGATAGTTGTTATTTTAGAGATTGATAATTTATTAAAGATGTGTATATTTACCTCATCTATGTTTGTCATAAAAGAATGCATAAATGATTTACAAATAGTGATCTAAGAGATCACAGGGTTTAAGTCTTAATATGTAAGAATTTGATTTAATTTCTGTACAAATAGGTTCCAGTTCGGACAACTTTGATTCTAGTTTATAGAAGATAGATCTTACATGTACAGTAAAACCCATTCAGTACAAATCACAGGGGTCTGAAGTTTTTATCGTAAAAAAAATTTAGAAAAAAAAAAAAAAATCTGGAAAAAAAATTCCCACCCTTAACTTAAAAAACACGAGGATGGCAACATGTTTTGGGGCAACCCACCTAAACAAATAGATCTGGACCTAGCCAGAAAAAAATCCTGACTAATTCAGTATGTGGAGCATTTGTGTTAATTATTCAAGTTAAGAAATCTAATCTGCTTGACGACTACAGGCAGTTTCTGGCCCTTTTTCCACTTTGACAGCTCATCCTGGACTCCATGCCACTAAACTGGAAAAGAACTCCACAGTAAATATTTGATGTAATTGAAGAGAAGAAACAAATATATTGCATGTAAAACTTCATGTACAGTATTATGTTACCATATGTGATCAATAAAAAGATATATTTTTTGACACAATATAATGTCTTATAAGGTCGATAAGTCTAGCTGTTTGGCTCTTTGTTGACTTGGTTTTTAAGTGATTTAAATTTGGCGCCTTATAAAATCTGAATTATCTGTCCCTGGTAAATATCGTCATATAAGTAAGAAAAAGAATTGATAACTTTTTAAAGATCTCTTAAATACGAGGGTCATTCAAAAAATTCGTAGATAATGTTCCTCATTATCACATTATTTTGACAAATTTTAATATCAGTACATTTTTATATGTAAAAAGACATATTTTATAGATTTCTGAAGTTTCATTCTATTTGATTAAATGGAACTCATACTAGGCAATTTTAAATGCAACATGTTTTGTCACCACGGAGCACGGTCAAAAACATTGTAACGTCAAAAACATCGTTAAGAAAATTTTCTCAGACTCACAGTGCCTTTTCATTTTATACATGGTTTGTATCCTATTCCCCATTCAATAAAACGTATCCACAACAATTGACACCTAGTATGCTTACAATAATTTGAGTATACCTTAAATAAGATTGTCAATGTTTTCAAATCATCTACCATGTAACTTTGCTCATACAGGTTCCGCAACAGTGAAGCGCACATCACGTTTCATGACGTTACTCTTTTGACAATATTTTGAACTATAATCTGTTTCTTTGCATAACGCCCATCGCCCAATTTAAAGTCTTTACCCCTCAAAAATTGTCTGTTCCGTTATAAACAAATACACGGCTCATTTTAGGTATTTTTCCTGGTCTCTCCAGCATTTTCGGAGTTTGTTTTAAAAGTTTCCAAATGCAAAACAAAATTATATTGCTACTCGCTGCTCCGTGACGTCCTTCGACGTCATGATTTTTTGCTTTTTTAAATCAAGACTATCTGTCTATAGAAATTGATTTCTTTTAAACAAAGCAATGTATTACATTAACTTTTTGCTTTTTAAGAAATGAAACAATACTAAATTTAAGTATTTAAATATTATTTCATTTAAGGACAATTTTAAAGAGGTAAGGCTATAGATATGAAAAGTGAATAATCAGTCAATAACTCAATTTTGACCCTGCACCGTGACCCCATTTTTGCTGTCTTAAATCTTTGATAATTTTGACAAAAATCAAGATATATTCCAATTTCTTTGCTCAAAATATTTAAAGCTGTTGTTAAAATATATGTACCAAATTTGGTTTAAATATGACGTTAAATAAAAAAGTTATGACAAAAGTCTACGAACTTTTTGAATGACCCTCGTATATTTAAAATAACTGAATCAAATTACGTTGAACATTTATTTATTTTATTTTATTTGAACAAGCTTTTATAGATGTCAAATATACACAATGCGATATCACTTCCGGTTTAGTGGCATGGAGTCCAGGATGAGATGTCAATGTGGAAAACATAGGTAATCAAAGATTACGAAGCTCACCTCGACGAATCTTATCAGTGTAAGAAATGCAAATCTCACATCATATTTTCTTAATATCTAGTATTTATCCCAACAACAATATTCTTGCAAGTTGTGTTTAACCCCTTACAGGGCATATACACATTTGTACGCATGTAGTGAGAAAAACATGTATAGTGTAAACAAATATTCATAAATTTGTTAATACTGCAGATATCAAGGACTTCAAGTTCATTGGGATTAATCTGTTCCCAAAACTTTAACCTGGTGTCTTGTATGGAAAATAAAGGTCAGATTCAGCATCTGAAGCAAGTCTAGTGTCTATCCCTAGATGCATCATCCGTGCAAGTTTGGTTCAGGTAGGGCTTATAGTTACTTGGGAATGAAAATATAGGTCAGATCCAGCATCTGAAGCAAGTCTGGTAGTGTCCATCCCTAGATGCATCATCCATGCAAGTTTTGTTCAGGTAGGGCTTATAGTTACTTGGGAATGAAAATATAGGTCAGATCCAGCATCCGAAGCAAGTCTGGTAGTGTCCATCCCTAGATGCATCATCCATGCAAGTTTGGTTCAGGTAGGGCTTATAGTTACTTGGGAATGAAAATGTAGGTCAGATCCAGCATCCGAAGCAAGTCTGTTAGTGTCCATCTCTAGATGCATCATCCATGCAAGTTTGGTTCAGATAGGGCTTATAGTTACTGGGGAATGAAAATGTAGGTCAGATCCAGCATCCAAAGCAAGTCTGGTAGTGTCCATCCCTAGATGCATCATCCATGCCAGTTTGGTTCAGGTAGGTCTTATAGTTTCTTGGAAATGAAAATATAGGTCAGATCCAGCATCTGAAGCAAGTCTAGTAGTGTCCATCCCTAGATGCATCATCCATGCAAGTTTGGTCCGGGTAGCGCTTATAGTTCCTTGGGAATGGACCTGCTCCAAAAACTTTAACCTGGTCACTCTTCTGGAAAATGTAGGTCAGATCCAGCATCTGAAGCAAGTCTGGTAGTGTCCATTCCTAGATGCATCATCCATGCAAGTTTGGTCCAGGTAGGGCTTATAGTTACTTGGGAATGGACCTGCTCCAAAAACATTAACCTGGTCACTCATCAAGGAAATGTAGGTCAGATCCAGCATCCGAAGCAAGTCTGGTAGTGTACATCCCTAGATGCATCATCCATGCAAGTTTGGTTCAGGTAGGGCTTATAGTTACTTGGGAATGGACTTGCTCCTAAAACTTGAACCTGGGACGCCGACGCTAACGCCGACACCGACGCCGTGGGTATAGCATAAGCTCATCTCGACTTCGTTGAGGTGAGCTAAAAAGGCTATGAACGGCCTGAAGTCATCAAACAGATTTGATTTTTCAACTTGAATAAATAAAACAAACGCTCTGGATACTGAATTAGTTGGGAATTTCTTCTGGCTAGGCCCAGATCTATTTGTTTAGGTGGGTCGCCCCAAAACACATAGTAGCCATCCTGGTTTTTTTAGCTGAGGGTGGGAATTTTTTTTTTTTTATGATAAAAACTTCAGACTCCTGTGGTACAAATACTTGGTAAGGACATGGCAAATTCAGAGATTAGCAAATATTTTTTTGAAGGGGTGCATAAGAGCTAGACCCTTGTAAAACTTTTGCAGTTACGAAATTTTTTGATTCAGCTAACTCTTATTTTTTTTTAATCTTTAGTTCTCTCCTGGGGCTTGGTTTCAGGATGATGTATTTTGTGTATTATATTCTTTTCTAAGTTTGTTTAAATACATTCATAAACATGAAAATAAACTTTATGTGTTTGTGAAACATTGATGTCCCCATACAGTTGCTCATGGTGAAGGTTAAGGTTTTTCAAATACAAGTCAAACTCCAAGGTGAGGAGATCAACAAAAGGCCCATGGGCCACATTGCTCACCTGAGTGACTTTGGTGATGTCGTTTTTTACCAGAATCCCCCTTTTAATACCCATAGTGGCCATCCCCCCTGCCCCCCTTCCAGTCAAGATTTAATAATTTAGAATTTAAACTACCCTATGATGCTTCCACATAAGCTTCAGCTTTTCTGGCCCAGTGGTTCTTGAGAAGATTTCTAAAGATTTTTTGTATATATTTCTATGTCTAACTTGGGTTCCATATTGTGGCCCTGTCCTACCCCCACGGATCATGATTTTAACAATTTAGAATCTATATTTCCCCAGGATGCTTCCACATAAGTTTCAATTTTTATGGCCCAATGGTTTCTGAGAAGAATTCTGAAGATTTTTCTGAATGGTTACATATATCATTGTAAAACTTGGATTCCGTATTGTGGCCTTGCCCTACCCCCGTGCCTCATGATTTGAATACTGTAAATGTATTATATTCGTGTACTATATTTGGTGGAAATTGATTTTTGAACAAGTTAGCGTAGACTTGATTTAGCACATTTCTCAGTGTTCCTATGTATGTGTATATGTGCAAGACATTTACCATTGTACTTGAATTAGCGGAAGTTTCACTCCGCCAAAAGCGCTAAAAAGAATACACAGCCAAATATAATACGTTTATAGTAAATTTAGAACTACACCACCCCAGAATGCTTCCACTTAAGTTTCAGCTTTTCTGGCCCAGTGGTTCTTGAGAAGAAGATTTTTTAATGACCCTACCCTATTTCTGTCTTTTCTTGATTATCTCCCCTTGCAAGGGAACAAGGCCCTTCATTATACCCCCCGCTTGAAAAGTGGGAGGGTGTACTGTAATTGGTATGTCCGTCCATCCGTACGTCTTTCTGTCAGTCAGTACAGCTGTCTGTCCATCTGTCCGTCTAGCTGTCCGTACGTCCGTCCGTCTATCTGTTACACTTTGGGGTACCAATCTCTTATCCACAACTCCTCTTAATATACCATTGAGTGAAATTTAATGAAACTTTCACAGAATCTTTATTACATATTGCCATTGTGCACCTCCTATTTTACTTTTTGATCCGACACATATTTTGGGTTTCCCGGCCACAGCAAAACATGGACTTTGCCATTATAACCATATGGGAGGCGGGGGGTATCATTTAGTGAGCTCATTGCTCACAGTACCTCTAGTTTTAACAATTTTAACTCCCCTTCACCCAAGGATGCTTTGTTGCTTCATTTGTTATCAAATTTCAAGATGAAATTTTCACCCTTAAGGATATCCGATCCTCAGCCAGGAAGGATAACTCCAAAAATTCATATTTAATTTG